AGCTTTAAATTTAAATATTATACCAGAGTTTATAGTAAACTAGTGGTTATTTTGAAAAATAATCTTAAACAGTTAAACAATAATTTGAAAATGGTATTTTAATTTAATCCTATGGGATAAAAAAAATTCTAAATTAACAATCAGCTTCAGTAAAGGTATAGATATCTGAAAGTTAGAAAGAAACTTGTAAAAACTTTATAAAGATTGTTCCTTCTCCAGACAGATGGCAACAATAATGAAGACTAGAGCAAAATTCCATAAACAATTTCATACAAATATAATATAACGCATAGACAGTATAAAAAGACTTGCCCTTTCTGCACAACACTTTTTTAAAAATTCAGTATATTTTTAATTTTAACAAACTGATCAACTAAAAGGCTTGGGGATTGGAAGTGGGTGTTTCGCATAGCAAAGATGTGACTTTTCATAGAAATATAAATTTAAAAATTCCCTGATTGTCCTCTCGAACAGTATTTTTTAAGCAGAAAAAACAAGAAAAAAACAAATATTATAAACTACTAAAACATATGTTGATTTCATTCCCATACTTTGAAGCAAGTTTTAATCACATGACCATCAAAGTTTGTTCGAATGTAATAAGAATCATCATATAAGTATTGCAGACAAGATTGTGTTTGACATTAAGTAAGTTAACATGTTACAAATCATTATTTTAACATGCTATCAATATATACAGTTAGCATCACATCCATTTTAAATAATTTTTACACACTATTTACATTATTTAACCATTCAGTGCTGCCTCTAGATTTTTGTTTCCAAAAAATTGCGCACAGCCAGGGGTGTTCTTTTCTGAAAAATAAAATGGATACATTTTGAATCATAAAGGTAAAAAGAAATGTAAATACATTTAATAAGATAATAAACTGAAGACTTTGTAAACTGAACAATTGTATTTTAACTTTATGTACCCAATATAAACTGAACTCTTGTACCCAATATGAACTGAACTCTTGTACCCAATATAAACTTGAACTCTTGTACCCAATATAAACTGAACTCATGTACCCTATATAAACTGAACACATAACAAATATGAATTTAACCCATGTACTTGATGTACCCAATATAAACTGAACACTACGTACATTGTGAAATCAGCAAAATAAGAAACCGCCATTTAGATGTGAAATTTTCTTAATTCACATATTTAGACTTAATCAGTTGATGCGGGTAAAAAAAAAAAGGTCACATTATTGACATAGAATACATGGAATTATTACAAATCTGTTTATAAAAAAATTGAATGTTAGAAGTAATTAGCTCCTCAGATTCAAATTGATCCACATCCATAAAGAAAACAGCTTTTCTAGAGGGTTTTTAACATGTTTTTTTTTAATTAACTAACTACATCAATTAATTTGTTCAAAGTTAATCATCCTTTTAAAATAATAATAAGTATTAAAAAATTAAATGTTATAAATCAGTTTTAATTTTGGTTAATTTCTTATACTTCAACAGCTTTTGGTACATTTAAAAAATTCCATGTTACATAATAAATTCAATAAACCGAATGGAATTCAAGAACCAATCTTCATGTTATAAAAATCACCCACTGAATAATGAATTTTGAAAGTTTGATAAATGCTAAAAATTTATATTTCACTTCTGGAAAATTACAATTTTGTAAATATCTTACTTTAACTCATTTTGTTTTTTAATAGTAATTGTTATGTTTTTATAAACAAATAAGAACGTTTCAAACACACACAAATCATGCTGTTAGGATTAGAATAAAAACATTTTTCATTGAAATGCCACAATTCATCTTATTTAAGAATACCAGTATCTTAATTATAACCCTTTCACTTCCTACGTCTTTTCAAAACTCCCACCCTAACTCCTTCACATCCTACGTCTTTTCAAAACTCCCACCATTAACATCATTAAAATAAATGAAGGAGTGGCAGTCCATCAGTTGATTAATTAAGATAATACAGTCAATAACTTTCCACAGAGATGTTAAAATCAACAGGATCCTTATGAGCCCATACCATGTTAATCCTGACCTGCACCGTGTCATTCCTAAAAAGGAGACGGAATAGTAGAAGCAGCACAGTAATGCTCCAGATGATGAAATAATGAATAGGCCTAATGAATACACCTATCTGGTACAAGATGTGTGGTATACACGATACTGCAACCACTCCATGACAAACTCAACATATGGCAACCATACTATGACAAAACTAAATCTGCAGTATGATCCACTGATAAGGCTAATTACTTTTTAAATACTTTATTATTATCAGTGTGTAGGTTTCTTAGTATTAAAGTTACCAATAGAAAAATTTTATAAATTAATTCTTTTATGGAGGATATCTCATTCAGCAGAGTTTCTAGAAATGATTTATCCTGATTAATTAATAATTCAAACTATTAGAGCATTTGAATTGTGTCTTATAACTGGAAAAATCATATACACTAATTAAAAAATTCAAATGATAAAAGACAGTAGAAAAATTATATAGTTGTCAAGTTTTGAGATGAATTTACACAACATGAACTAACTGTAGGCTAGCATTCAATAAAACATGGATCACAAATACCCTAGCAAACATAAATACACTCAAGTGTAAGTCACATAAATGAAATAAAATTACAAGTATTTTTTTCTTAAATACCGGAATGATTACTCATTTATAAAATGAATGGACACAATTTAAGAAAGCTAAAAATTTAATGTATTATGTTTAATTATAGCGCTGCTGATGCTTCTTCTGTGCCACTGGTGTAACCTTATTCGAGGCCCGAAGTTTTCGAAGAAGCTTCTTGTGAAAAGGAGTTTTTGAAGTAGAAAGTCCACCTAGTCCCGGAATGATAAACGATTCTTTTGGTGGAGTTTGATACATGGAAACCTTAGGGGTCATCATTGGCATAAATTTTGGTGGAAAGTGTGTTACTGGCTGAGAAGGGGTTACCGTGTGAGGTACGACGCTTGTTTTGTCAGGGCAAGATACAGGGGATTGAAGAGTTGCTTCAACTACTGTTTGACAAACATGTTTCTTGTGTAGGTCAGCTACACCGGATAAAGTTAAAACAGGATGTTTACTTATCTCTCTATCAATTTTCTGTTTACCCACAAAATCTGAACTATCAAATCGTGGCTTAAGCTTCCCCAAGTCTTCGCACACATTTTTTTTAGCTGAACATGGATCCTTGGATTTTGTTGATTTATTTTTTATGTCATTGTCTTGTTGCTCAAACAATAATTTCAGCTGGGCGACAGAATTAGATACTTGATGTTTTTCCCGTTTCAAAAGCTGAACTCTTGTATGCAATGCAGGAGCAAACAACCCATTCTTCATTTCATCAACATCGCTTTTGCTCTCATCTGTTTTGCTCTGATCTGTTTTGAACAGCTTTTTCTTCCTAAGGAAAACGTTTTTCATATGTTTAGAAAACTTAATTTTTTTAACCTTAAGTTCCTTGTTTTCATCACACTGAGCGTCTGCAAAAAGAACCTCATCACCTCTGCTTGCTGTTGGGCAGTCAAAATCTAAGCTGTCAGTTCCTCGGTCATCTTGTTTCACTATTTCCTTATGGCTAGCATTCTCAGAGCACACCCCTACATCATTAGTTTGATGAGTTTGAGGAGATGCATCAATATTTGAGATGGTCGCTTGTGAAAACACCAGCTTTCTTTTCATGAGAGACCTTTTTTTATCCAGAGATGAGGATGGCAGAGCTGGTGTGTTAGAGACTAATAAGTTTGTTCGTTTTAATCCATTTGATGGAACTGCCTCGACACACACTAGTTTCAAGTCTTGGGAAGGATCGGTGTCATCAAAAGCTGAAGTAGTAATGTTTTTATTAGTCATCCTGGACTGTTGGAACTTATTTTTCACAGGTTTAAGCCACATGTTGGACTCACCTGTATTGTTTAAGTTTTGATCGTTGCTATTTGAGGTAGATTGTCCTGAAGTCATTTTATAAGTCATTAGTGCTGACACCTCTGTGGGTGTTGCCATTTCCTTAAGGTTATAGTTTGATTCTGACACCTGTTTATCAAACTGTGCTGGACTTTTTCCATTATATCTGCTTATCTTGCAGCTCTCAGGTTTGTCCTCTGTTATGGCTACAGAACTCACAGGAGCTGGGTCAGAACTCACAGGTGCTATGGCAGAACTCACAGGTGCTATGGCAGAACTCACAGGTGCTATGGCAGAAATTACAGGTGCTATGGCAGCACTCACAGGTGCTAACGCAGAACTTACAGGTGCTGTGTCAGCACTCGCATGTGCTATGGCTTCTGGTTCTGCTATATTAGCAGTTGGCCTTGGATTGAGAACCAACTTCATTACTTTAAGGCCATGGGCTTCATTAAATCCATCATTTTTTTTACATAATTCAATATGTAAGTGAGTGGTATACCGTAAAGTATCCTTGTTACCCATGTTTGAATGTACAGTGTCATCTGGCACAGCTTTGATGTCTAAAACTGGTTCCAAACAATGCTGGTAACTTTGGTTCACAGCAGAAACAATGTCACATTTGACAGATGAGAGTAAATCAGTCTCAGCCAACACTGGCTCAGTTACAAATGGACATAGATGACCCATGGTGCACTTGGCATTGACATGACCATTCTTACTGGGTTCAACAAGCACTTTGGGAGCACTTTGATCCACAGTTACATCTGAAACAAGCCCATCACACTGAAACACAGCATTTGAACAGCAGTCAGCCGTATTGCTTTGATCCACAGTTACCTCTGAAACAAGCCCATCACACTGAAACACAGCATTTGAACAGCAGTCAGCCCTATTGCTTTGATCCACAGTTACCTCTGAAACAAGCCCATCACACTGAAACACAGCATTTGAACAGCAGTCAGCCGTATTGGAAGATTCCACACAATTTTGAGTACTAACAGATAAATCTATGGGTAGCACAACAGATGTCAGAGTGTCACTTGTCATACATTGACAGCTAACTAAAGGTGATCTAGCATGTATTTCTTCCAGGAAACTAACCTGCTGCTCAGACTTTGACTTCTGATCTGGCACTTCTGATTTGGTACTGCATTTGCTCTTGGAGCCAAAGAACCCTTTCTTAATCTTTTTAGGGCCTTTAGATGTCCGTGGTGAAAAGCCTATTTGGAAAGCAACACTCTCACGACGCTGAAAATTAACAAAAAAATGTATCATCTTAGCTAAGTATGAAAATTATAACTGACATTTATCTTTAAAAACATCTGTGAATTGTCATTTTAAAGGTAGAATTTGAAGAGATGACTACATTGCATTAACAGCACAAATTTAGACTAACGGCACAACCTGGCACTAACAGAGTTAACTAAGTTTAAATTACAATAAAACTAAAATAACAAAAGACACGGGTCAGAAATCTTACGTCATGATCATTTTCACTCACGCCAACCGGGTTGATGTTGAACCGAGGGGATCTTCGGGGTGTTCTTTTCTTAGGGGTAAATCGTGGGTTGGGGCGTGCTATCGGAGAGCCTAAAGCTTTGACCTTTCCGCTCCAAGCAGGCGAGGCACCGTGTGATGGGGTGAACATCCCAGATATCCTCCGGGGTTGTTTGCCAGGAGTGGGTGGTCCTGGCCGCTGATAGGCTGGGGCTGTGCGAAGCTACAAATGTGGGAGTGAACAGGGATATGTATCAGATTTCAACATCTAAACAAAATGATCAACAGGTCATTGTTTGATGAATGTTATTAAGAGGTTATGAAATGACAAAGTCGAATAGTTTATTAGACTCATTTTTATATCAATGGAAATAATGTGGTGCTCAAATTTTAAATTTTTTTTTAAATTAATAATTTGATTTTCATTATCAATGTGTCAAAAAAAAAGTTGTTAAAGAGAAAGATTAAGGCATTTTAATATCTGCTCAAATTATAAAATAATACAAAGAGTACTTTCAAGACATTTCACTCTATAGTTCTTTCCACCCCATAGATATTAATTACATTGTATTACATTTTTTTTGTATTTTCCATCAGACTTTTTATAACTGAATTTGCTCCTTGGAGTAATGTAAAATGTAGTTAAATATAAATAAAACAATTTAATATCCAGTTAACATATTTACAACATAAAAAAACAAAACTGTAAATTGATAAGCAATAATGAGCACACAGATACAAGCTCTTCATTAACTTTTTACAAGCATGGCAACTTTAAAAAAAGCTTAGCTTTAAAAAAAACCTGGATAATAAATGACTACAAAAGCTAAATAATCCATGAAATCATTCAAATAAACTATTGTGAATACTTTTCTAGACCAGACATACTAAATGTAAGATTGTGTTTACAAAAAAGGAAGCAGAGTAAAATTTGATAAACATTCATATCTAGGGAGACACATACGTTTTTTGTTTTATCTACATTACGATAATAGAACCTGTACGTGAAGAAAATAAGCTACTATGAGTTGTTAAATAATGACCAGCTACAATTTCAAGGACCAGATGTTATCGACAAGAGAGGAGTAACACTACTGATGAATGCTACCAGCTAGCAAGCAATAACATGATAGAAAAACATGGCTGTAGCCCAAATAAGAAGATATAATCTACAGAGGTCAGCTACTACAGAGGGTGGCTACATGGATTTAAAATATTGAATAGTAAACTTTGGTGTACCACTGGATAGTAAATGATTTGTTCAGCTTCACTGGGGGAAACTTCAGATTTTGTCTGAAACAAATACACTGGCCATCAGATAAATAACTGAACATCTTTTTAAGCCACTAGTTGTCTAATTCGACTCTCACTGATAACAAAATAGTCAAAACAGTCTGAAGCATAAACCATTTGTCCAGAAGGTTCCCAACCTTTTATGACCCACACCCCACCAGAACACTCACAAGGGTTTAATATATTTGTTTTATCAAGACCCATTTCCGTCATGCAGCCTGCTCTGACAATACCAGGTTATTTAAAATACCTATCATGTTCCTTAGACAAAATACATTTTATTTGGAATTAAAAACACAGAACCTCAAGTTCTGACAGCTGATGATGAAACACAAACTGTTCATTTGATTCAATAAAGCACACTCAAATCAACATTACCTGTTTAGGAGGACTTTCCTCAAACTTTTCATCACTTGAGTCTTTGGAGGATGATTTTCTTTTAGTGGCAACATTTTTATCTGTTATTTGTTGAGAATAATTTGATGATGCTGTATGAGTTCTTGAACTTGACGACCTGGCTGGACTTGCCTTTGAAATAAAACCAAATAAACCACAAATAATTTTAATAATAACTCACAACTTTAAATTCTACAAGATTCAAATATGTTTCAACTCTTGTCTAGTGGATTCAATCTGCTTTTTAACACATGATGATGACCCCCCAAAAAAATAATAATAAATTTAAACAAAAACAAAAATATTAGGGTTTGAAACCATAATAATCTTATAAATTTGATACTTAGTGAAAGGTTTGTCAACAAACAAAATGAGACCCAACTCAGATCTCCTTAAACTTTTGCTAATGAGTTTAGTAAATAGAAGTAAACTAGAAGTTGGCTTTAAAGTGTAGTAACCTTCCTTCTTTTGTCTGGCATCAGGCTCAGCCTCAAGGACTCATCAGCAAACTTTTCTTTTTTCACTGTCTGCATCTCTACAGGATAAGAGGACTTCATGTGAGGCGGGCACAACGTGTTCCTTCTCTGCAGCTCACTCAGTCGGTCCCATTCAAACTCTGGTCCTTCTGGTTCATTGGCACAGGACATAGCATTAGGCAAGAAACCAGCTGCAAGTTGGTATTCAATAATTATTGTTCAGGCAGAAACCAATCAATGGATTGAGGCAAGCAGCAACCATAAAGGTTGGATTAAGGGGGGGCAAATAGATCCTGGGAATTTATAGATGTTTATCAATGCTTGTATTGTTCATTGGTGGCAAAGATTAAAACTCTTAGTTCTAATATCAATAAATAACAAGATTAATTTGAATGTTACCATTGTTTGCACTCTTGATAGACTGAGAGGAAGATACTGAACAGATGCTCAAGCGATCCTCTGTCTGCCGTCCTTGGGTACCATGAGCTCTGCTTTGAGTCTCTGAGGCATTAAAAAGTGTGTCCCTGCAGAGAAAATAAGGAAATCTAAACTTACCGGACATGTTATCACAAATATTGTCAGTTCTTTTTAAATTAAATAACAGAGTTTTTTCTTCTTGATCTGTTGCAATGTATTTTATTGATCTATGTGGTAAAGCCCACAAGTAAGTACCTCTTTAACATGACTCTATCAGCAGATATAATCGTTTCATTGAGGTTGGGTTTCAGAGTTTCATTGTCTGTGGAGGGAAAAGGAATTCATTTTAAATTGAACAAAGTGAGATGAACAAACCAATTTGTTTCACTGATTTGGCCTAAGAGGGAATATGCTGATGAAAAATCCAGCTTTTTAATATTGTTAAATATATTAAAAAAGAAATGTTAAAAATAATAGTGTTTTTTTTATTATCATCCTTATGTTGACTACATTGCATATAACCTTTTTGTAAAAAACTTACCAATGGAGCGCCTTGATCTAAGACTTCTAGAGCTAAAAGAGTTCCTAATTTCCATTGAATCATCTGAAAAGTCTAAATATAAAGTCATGTTATTGATTAAATATTCAGCATAAGAGCATTAATCATAGTGTTGGATTCTTTCTCCCTGTTTGTAGCTACTCATTATACAATAAATACAAAGAATTTTTATTTACCGTACGCACTTGATCTAACGCCTGTCAGTTCCTTAGCCGACCCCTAGTTTTGGAGGGGAGAGTGTGTAGCTTGCTCGTAAGCCAACCCCATAAAATAATATGCTATTATAAGCAATATGTTCTAAAGAACATTTTTTTTTTTAATCAAGACTTTTAAAAATGATTATTGTATTACTAAAAGACTTTAAAACAAATAAACATATAGTATAAAGCAGTGGTTCAAAACCTGTGCAATGTGGAGCCCTAAATATGCACTTCTCAGGTAATCCTAGACCACTCCAGTTACCTCCTAACCACTATTAAATGGTAAGAAATAAGGGGAGTCCACACTAAATTGATTCTAAAAAGGGCTCCACTAGTAAATATATATATTATGTAAATTTAATTTTTACTTATTCGTCTTTTTGTTGTACTGATGAAGGCATGTGCCGAAACGTATAGTTTTGTAGTCTATAAAATTATTAGTAAAGCTTACCTTATATTGTTATATTGACACAAATTTTTGGTGTCTATTTAGTGCACTAGTAAAAAATGTTTGGCAACCACTGGCATAAAGTAAAAGACAGATACTAAACATATCCAAAAATAGACATAATGCAAATATATGTCTTCTGCTGCCCAGACTGTATCATAAAGAAAGGGGCTCTGACCACTTTTAAAATAGATTTTAGCTGCTGCTACAATGTTACAAAATATGACAAGCTGACATCTCATTACTGAATTTAGGAACTTTGAGACACTGCAAGTGCAGCCAATCATGGAAGTCCAATATAAGCCTGACCCAATTCTGCACACAGCTTTAAGCTGATGTTCATTAAGCTTTTCTAAAGATTGTGGTTGCCGACATTATTTAAATCAAAGACGTTTTTTAAACAACAAAACTATATTAATTCAAAACTCTTTGTTTGGAGGTAGACTCATCAAACAGTTGGGGATGGGAGCCTTTGGCTAAAAGACATAACTGAAACTTTTACTGAAGTAGAGAAGTATATACTAAAAGAAAGCTTTACAAATTAGGAAAAACCATTGGTGTCAATGGTCATTTCTTACCTTTCTCAATGAGGGCATGCTTGAAGTGGGTTTGATCCCCCAACAGGGCCGTTCCTGCTTGCTCCAACTGATGTTTATAGTCTCTGAGTTGCCTCTCTGAGAAATCAAGTGACGTCCTAATTTGATTGATCTCAAAAGCTGAAATACAATACAGGAGTGGATTAGTGATCCTGTAACGGTGCCACTAGACACAGAGAGACCACAGGGCTTAATGAAATGAGGAGGACCTTGCAACACTTGGCCAGAGATGCAGTAGTTCAAAGTTCATGTTTTATCTCAAAAGACAATTCCTTGAAAAATTGTCATCCATCAGGTCAATGTGTTACAGATAAATAAAATTGATTTTAAATTAATATCAACATCAATATATGTAAGACTTTCTGATTAAACATTCTACAATCAATTCTTGAAGTCCACTTAATATCTTCATACCAAAAGCTTTGTTTTCCTTCTCTTTTATTTCAAGTTTTTGTCTCATTTCCTCGTACTTTGACTGCTCGCTCTCATTCTGTTTTTTTATCTTTGCACTTTTTTCTCTCTCCAGCTTTAATTCCTTGTTCAAATTTCCTTGCATCTCCTTCATCTTCTGTATTTTCTGTTCATAAAGCTTGCATTGCTCAATCATACTTTGAGACCCCTTTTCAGATTTCTCCCGCTGAAATGTTAAAAAAAATGTTTTAACAAGTCAATTTCACAAAAAGATAATATTTTTTAAAAATCTAGATAATCTTTTCCATGTAAGAAGCTTTTACAGTTACCGTATGTCATTATAATTTTGAATAGGTCATCTTGTGGGCACCATGTTTTTTGTATTTGAAATGTGCAGGGTTTTTTTCGTTTCTTTTCAATCAGCAATTATTGATAGCTATATAATATTCATTCAGTTGAATTTTTTATCAAGGTTAAATTTTCATTAGGGCAGTGCTTCTCAAACCTATTTTGGTTCACAACACATTATCCTAAGTAGTAGGTCCCACTGAAAACAATTTTTAAGTTAGCAATTCTTTGATAACTTTTACAAGCATAATCACAAACTCTTAGAAGTTTTGCGACACACCTAGCATATCTTATGTGACACTACTGTGCCATGGCACACCTGTTGAGAACCACTGCTCTAGGGTTTAAAAATATTATTTACTAAATAATATTACCACAGAAAAATCTTTAGTTATTGATGCCCTACCTTCCTTTTCTCCTCATCTAGCTGTTTTCTTAACTCTTGACAGAATTCATTTGCTTTCCTCATGTGTCCATCATTTTCCTTCACTCTCTTAGTCTCTCGTTCCCATAACGATCTATTCTCCTCTTGTAATGATTTACACTTGGATTCAAAATAATTTTGTTGTGACTGTAAATCAAAGAAAACATATAATGTTAAACTGTAATTAAATATTATATTAAAATTTTTCGCCATAGTTTTCAATATGCTTAAAATAATTTTGGGCAAAACAGTTGTGCTGGATTTCTTAAAAACTATTGTAAGCTTGCTTTAATTATATAGTTGATGAAATTTTTTTAAATTCTTGAAGTCCTATTTCAAATAAATTTACACACAATAACAACTTCTAAACATTACCTTCAGAATTTCCAATTGTGCATTGTTTTCTTTTTCTCTTGACTGGTAAGCCTCCAACTTGCAAGCCATATCAGAAATTTGCTTCTTAAAATCAGCAACAGTGCACTCTTGCTGAATCTGAACATTCTCTAGTTCTTTCATCAGACTCTTAGATTGATCCTTTCACATGTGATTAGATTTATACATTAAGTTAAAATTTGATTGCAACACATCTTATTCTTAAAACTTGTCAATTAAGTTTATATATAACAAAATAGAGACATGCACTATACTATTTGGTTTAGTTAGAAATACATTATTGGCATATACTGTTTTTATAAATATATGGAGTAATTTATAAATACATTAAAATTAAGTTAATGATATTCAATAATAAGTAATTTCCTTGCATATTAATTACAAAACCCTATAAATTTTAACTGCATGAAAACAAAATACAAGATTAAATGCTATATTTTTTATTTTACCTTCCAAGTTTTCAGATCTGAGTCGTTTTCTTCTTCCCTTGATTGATAAGCCTCAATCTGACTTGTGAGTCTTGCTATTCGCTCCTCAAATTCAGCTATCATTTTCTCATGCTTAATCTGCAAGACCCCTAATTCTTTCTCAAAACTACTTGATTTTTCCTTTAACAAAATCATTTCATAAAACTCATTAAAAAAGGAAAAGTATGAATAGATTTATATAAAAATTAAAGGACAAGTATCTCCAGTGTTAAATTATTTGCATTCTGTCCTTTCTGCTTACTTAAAATATTAATTTCTTATTTAATTTAAAATGTGGGGGAAAAACATGATTTTTCATAAAAAACCAAAAAAAAAACTAATAGAGACAAGACTCCAGTATATCAAAGTAAATTTACAAAGACTAGCAAGTTCTAAATATTACCTCCAAAATTTTTATTTGCGAATTGCTTTCTTTTTCTTTTGAATGATAAGCCTCCAACTTGCAAGCCATATCAGAAATTTGCTTCTTAAAATCAGCAACAGTGCGCTCTTGATGAATCTGAACATTCTCTAGTTCTTTTATCAGACTGTTAGATTGTTCCTTAAATACATAATTAGATTTATACAATTAGATAAAATTTGATGACACCAGACCTGTTTACTCTCAAACTCTTAAAATCTTACAATTACATCATAAAATCGTTCAATACCTTATATTTATAGTAAAAAATAAACATACAGTATTTATAATGTTTACACCTCAAAATCGCCAAAATCGTAAGAGTAAACAGGTCTGTGATAGGACAACATATTTTTAAAACTTGTCAATAAAGTATACTTATATATAAAACAAAAAATGAGATATTCAAAATACTATTTATATGACTTAGAAATATTAAATTCTCGGCATTTATTGTTTTTATAAATATATATATACAAATATTGAACGATTGGGTAAATATTTATAAATTCAATGAAATAGCAAAACGAGGTATGTGGAAGCTTGAATTTCAGGACAGGACAATAAGATTAGAACGTTTCGGCATACAGCCTTCCTCAGCACACAGGACAAATGAAAATATCACAAGGAACAGAGCACAGTAAACAACTCAAGAAATATCCATTGTTGTTGCCGGAAGTATTGTTACGGGAAGTGAGAGAATATAAATACTGACGCTTTGAAAAATAAGGTCCACAATAATAATGGACCAGAATATCTAGGGATACATAAACACACAGCAATAAGAAAATAGTAGAAATACAGGGAAACAGAAAACATTAGTAGGATAGTATTTGATAAATACCATATGAAGAAATGGTGCCAAACAGCTGAATAAATTTATTTTTCCATTTTAACCCTTTCTGGTAAGTTATAATTATTATAAATTCAAACAACTTAAGTTAAAAATATTCAATGAGACAATTTGCTGTTTAATTTTTTTGTAGCTCTTTTAAACTGTGACTGCACAAACATACAATAAAAGAATAACAAGCTTTGTCTTTTATTTTTACCTTCCAAGTATTCAGTTCTGAGTTGTTTAGTTTTTCCCTTATTTGATAAGCCTCAAGTTGACTTGTAAGTTTAGTGTTTTCCTCCTTGAATTCAGCTGTTACTTGCTCATATTTAATCTGAAGGACTTCTAATTCTTTCTCGTCATTACTTGATTTTTCCTTTAAAAAAAAAAAATGTTCAAAAACACTTGTCAAAAAAGGAAAGGTATGAATATGTTTATATGAAACTTAACGGACATGCATCTTCAATGTTAATTTATTTGCATTCTGGCTTTTGTCTGCTTTACATATTAATTTCAGTTAAGACATCATCATCATCGCCTTACGTCCCGTCTGGGGCATAGGACACAAACAAAGGCTCTCCAGGCATCCCATTCTTGGGCCAGTCTCTCCAGCTGTCCCCAGATGTGTGAACTCTTTTTGGTGTCTGCCTCTAGTTCCCTTCTCCAAGTCATTTTGGGTCGACCTCTTTTTCTCTTGCCCTGGGAGTTCAAAGTGAGGGCTTGTCTCGTAATACTGGATGCAGGCTTTCTAAGAGAGTGGCCAATCCATCTCGATCTGCACTGGCAGACTAACTCTTCCACTGGTTCTTGTGTGCGCCGCCAAAAATCCTTGTTGATGATAGCGCTGGGCCAGCGGATATGTAGAATCATTTCGAGACATGAGTTGATAAACGCCTGTAGCTGTAAGACATCACTCCAATATATATAAAAAAAACAACTTTAAAACAGTAGCAAGTTCTAAATATTACCTTTAAAATTTCCAGTTGTGAAATGTTTTCTTTTTCTCTTGACTGGTAAACCTCCAATGTGCAAGCCATATCTGTAATTTGCTCCTTATAAGTAGCAACAGAGTGTTGTTGCTGAAGCTGGACATTCTCTAGTTCTTTCATTAGACTGTTAGACTGTTCCTTTAATATGTGATTAGATTTATACAATAAAATGTTTATAAATACATTCAAAATAAGCTAATAATATTCAATAATGAGACATTTCCTAGTGTCACTTGTTAATTTTATAAACTTTTAAAATTTTAACTGCCCAAACAAAAAATACAAGGCTTAAAACACTTTGTCTTTTATATTTACCTTCAAGATCTTCAGTTCTGAGTTGTTTTCTTCTTCCCTTGATTGATAAGACTCAAGCTGACAAGTAAGTTTAGCAATTTGTTCCTCAAATTCAGATATTGTTTTCTCATGTTTAATCTGCCAATCCTCTAATTCTTTCTCTTGATTACTTGATTTTTCCTTTTAAGAAATTGTTAAAAAACACTCATTAAAAAAGGAAAGGTATGAATAGATTTATCTAAAACTTAATGGAAAAGTATTTTTAATCTTAATTTTCTTGCATTTGGGGTATTGTCTCCTTAAAATATTACTTTCTGAGTTCATTTATTGTGTTAAAAAAATATATGATTTTTCATTTAAAAACAGTTAATACATCACTACAATATATCAAAGTGAATTTACAAACAGTAGCAACTTCTAAATATTACCTTTATAATTTCCAGTTGTGAAATGTTTTCTTTTTCTCTTGTCTGGTAAGCTTCCAACGTGCAAGCCATATCTGTAATTTGCCCCTTATAAGTAGCAACAGAGTGCTGTTGCTGAAGATGAATATTCTCTAGTTCTTTCATTAGACTGTTAGATTGTTCCTTTAATATGTGATTAGATTTATACACTTTATTGAAATTTTATAGCAACACAAAAGATTTTTAAAAGATAACAGTTAAATTAAATATATACAAAAAAAGACATACAAAATCAAATATAGTTAAATTAAAAATATTATATTCTTGGCATATATTGTTTTTATTTATAAAAAAAAGTTTATAACTTCATTCAAAATAAGCTAAAAATGTTCAGTAAGGGGACATTTCCTAGTGTAACTGGTTAATTTTAAAAACTTTTAAAATTTTAACTGCTTTAATACAAAATACAAGACTTTAAACGCTTTGTCTTTTATTTTTACCTTCCAAATATTCAGTTCTGAGTTGTTTTCTTCTTCCCTTGATTGATAAGCCTCAAGCTGACTAGTAAGTTTAGCAATTTGTTCCTCAAATTCAGATATCATTTGCTCATGTTTAATCTGCCAGTCCTCTAATTCTTTCTCTTGATTACTGGATTTTTCCTTTTAAAAAATTGTTTTAAAAAACACTCATTAAAAAGGAAAGGTATGAACAGATTTATCTAAAACTTAATAGAAAAGTATTTTTAATCTTAATTTTCTTGCATTTGGGGCTTTGTCAGCTTAAATTTTTATCTTAGTTCCTTTTATGTGAGGAAAAAAATGGGATTTTCCATTAATAAAATAAATAAACGATTAAGACATCACTCCAGTATATCAACGTAATCTTACAAATAAAAGCAAATTCTAAATATTACCTTCAAAATCTCCAATTGTGAAATGTTTTCTTTTTCTCTTGACTGGAAAGCTTCCAACGTGCAAGCCATATCTGAAATTTGCTCCTTATAATCTGTAACAGTATGCTGTTGCTGAAGCTGAACAATCTCTAGTTCTTTCATCAGACTGCTAGACTGTTCCTTTAATAAGTGATTAGATTTATACAATTTGTTAAAATTTCATCCCAACACAACAGATTTTTAAAACATGACATTTGCATTATATATAATATATATTAAAAAAAAGAGACGTACAAAATGCAATGTAGATCAGGTCTGCACAACTCAAAATGTAAGGCGGGCCGTAATACTTTATGGAAAACTTTAGGGGCCGAAAGAAAATAGGCATGGGGGGAAAGCTATTAAGAAAATTGTCATAAAAAAAGAATATGTCTTTACTTCGCAGGCGGCAAACTGGTTGCTGCGGACCACGAGCCGTATGTTGTGCAGGCCTGATGTAGATGAATTAAAAATATATTCTTGGAATATTTTTATAAATAATAATTACAGGTACAAATATTGGGAAAATACTAAATATTTATATACATTAATAGTTCGGGTAGTTTATTAATACATTCAGGATAAGCTAAAATATTCAATGAGACATTTCCTTGTGTTACGTGTTATTTTTACAAATAAAAAATACCAGACTTAAATTATTTTATTTTTACCTTCCAGGTATTCAGCTCTGAGTTGTTTTCCTCTTCCCTTAATTGATAAGCCTCAAGCTGACTTGTAAGTTTCGCAATTCGTTCCTCAAATTCAGCTATTATTTGATCAAGTTTAATTTGAAAGTCTTCTGATTCTTTCTCATGAACACTTGATTTTTCCTTTTTAAAAAATATTTTTTTTAAAAACTCATTTAAAAAAAGAAAAGTATGAATAAATTTATATAAAACTCAATGGACAAGTATTTTTAATATTAATTTTCGTGCACTTGGTGCTTTATCTGCTTAAAATATTAATTTCTGAGATTATATAATAAGTGTATGAATAAATAAACTACATAAGATATGACTACAATATATCAAAGAAATTTAATTTAACTTCCTTAACACAAAATAACAGACTTAACATGATTTGTCTGTTATTTTTGGTTACCGGAAATTTGATAGAAAGAAATGTCGTCAACGAAAAATTGATCTACGGAAATTTGATCGAACGGAAATTTGGTCGAAAATTTTAACGTGTGAACTGAAAAAAGATTTGACCAAATTTCTGTTCGATCAATTTTCGGTCTACGAAATTTCTTTCAATCATATTTCTGGATACTGTTATTTTTACCTTCCAAGCGTTCACTTCTAAGTTATTTTCTTCTTCCCTTGATTGATAAGCCTCAAGCTGACTTGTAAGTCTAGCAATTCGCTCCTCAAATTCAGCTATCATTTGCTCATGCTTAATCTGCAAGTCTCCTAATTTTTTCTCTCGAGTTCTTAATTTTTCCTTTTAAAAATTGTTTAAAAAACACTCATTAAATAAAGAAGGGCATAAAGAGATTATCTAAAACTTAATGGAATATTTTTAATCTTAGATTTCTTGCATTTACAGACCTGTTTACGCCCAAACTCCTAAAATCGTACAATATCATCTCAAAATCGTACAATGCAGTATTTTGATAGTAAATAAATAAAAAATACAGTACATTTAATGTATACAATAACTCATCCTTTAGCATGTTCAGTGGAATCGAGTTAAAGCTGGCGTCAAAATATGGAACTGTAGGTAAACAGTAGATGACTGACGTTAGCTGTTAACTGCGGTCACTTTGATTTGCAGACGTGTATCTGCTAATACATATCAATTACTATTTGGGTTAACGTGCTGATCACATTATCCCAGTCTGTCGCAGGTCAAACTAAAATCACAAATTGGGACACCCCACCCCACACCACCCACGNACACCAGCAGTCAGCCCCCCCCAACACCCGTTGTATATATCCGGTGGCTGCGGCTTCCTCATCAGGGCGTTGCGAAATATTTTTAAAAATTCATTATTTTATTTTCACTTTTAAACCAATGGGACAACTTTCGGTCGTGGTGCAAACAGTAACCCACTAAGCAACCGCTGTTTGCAGTTCCAGATGGCGCTCAGTGACCTACATACACGTTATATTTATTTTTATCCAACCCTTTATTTTATTGGTGTATTCGCTATTTCGAATTGTACATGTTTAGAATTCGACAAAAACGTAGTGTGGCATAGGCGCAGGGAAACGAAACTATTAGAACCACTGGCGTAGCCCACCGAATTATACGTAACACGTGGCCTTACCATTCGGTGGACTAACATTACTGTAACTTCTCTACTTCTGACTTTAGGTATAGCTAGCGAGTTCATTTGTGAAAATACATCTTGACAACATCGCGACGGCAATTCCTAGTCCTACTAAACATTGGCTAGTATTTTACAGCATTCGAGATCTAAATGTGCTTTTTTAGGACTTTCAGAGTTGCGGGATGAAGATTGTAGTATTTTTAAATACCGCATGGACTTTCTGGCGAGGAACATCCTCTCCCCTCCCCACCCCCCAAACTGACATTACGAAAATGTGGGTGGCGGTGTTGATTGTATAGATTTAAATATTCAGAACCGCGCCATACACACTATCTCCTAAATCCACACCACTCATTTTGGCTCTGATTGCTACTGAAAAGTCCGACTTGCAGAATGTGCAGCGCGCGTATGATGGACCCTTCTATGAAGACCTCAACACATTAAATTGTGTCTTATATCCAAGCAAGACTATAAACTTTCTTTATCTTTTGTTGAAGCTGATGTTTATCGGTAGAAGTTTCTTCTTCATCATCGGTTTCGCGTGCATTTCTTTGTGTCGAGGCCATATCGTAAAAATACTCACTAAGTAAACTAAACTAGGGGACCGAAACTAAAAAGGATAACTGATTCCATTAATGGTAACATTAAAATCAGGCAACGTGCGCACCCGTCAATGTAGCCAAATTCGAACAACAAAGCTGTTTGGACAATGGGACATTCATGTATAACATACCTGGTACGCAAAATAAACATTAAAAAGTTTTATAAAATATTTATAACCCGCCCCCCCCCAGCCGCACCTTGTCAACGTAAACCAAAGGGCCATCTAACTATTACGTCAAACAAAGGGCCATCTAACTATTACGTCAAACAAAGGGCCATCTAACTATTTCGTCAAACAAAGGGCCATCTAACTATTACGTCAAACAAAGGGCCATCTAACTATTGCATCAAACAAAGGGCCATCTAACTATTACGTCAAACAAAGGGCCATCTAACTATTACGTCAAACAAAGGGTCATCTAACTATTACGTAAAACAAAGGGCCATCTAACTATTACGTCAAACAAAGGGCCATCTAACTATTACGTATTATGTACCGCTGAGGATGCGTATGACAAGGGGGGGGGGGGGGGTTGTCAATTAGAATGCACCTACATTTATGCATACAATAATTATCCTGTTTCTTATAGAGTCACCCGTCATCTGAAAATCTGTGAATTCTAATTAGGCCTTTTATTTTTATTTAATTATCCTGTCTCTTATAGAGTCAACCGTCATCTGAAAATCTGTGAATTCTAATTAGGCCTTTTATTATTATTATTATTGCTATAAAAAAATATTACAATATTTCGCAGTAAGCATATAGGCCTACCCATATAAGTATAAGCTACTTATGCTTTGTGTTTTTCAAAAAGAGATCCCTGTAGTTGTAAAATTGAACATGACATAGTTTTAACACACTGTAGTCAGTAATTCGTCTTTCCGTGCTGGTGACGAAAGTTTTTTCCACCGGGCAGAACCACCCCCACCCCCCTCATTACTGGGGAAAAAAATTGAGCTGTCGTCTGATTTTTTTCCGTTTAAAAAAGGGGTGGGATGTGGGAGGGCAGTATTAGTAGTGATACCAAACTGTCGTATTACGATCGCTGAGGTAAAGAGCTGCTTTGCGAGTTCTACACATATTTTTTTTTAAATGCCGCTGACAAGCTCTTATAAAATATGCCCACATCCAACGTTCCAGTGCAGAACAGTGGGATCATGTATTTTATTGTAAAAAAACATCTCGTCTCTAGTTTTCTCCGTGTTCACAATCGCCGCAGTTCAAGGGAACAAAACTACGTCACACGCTGGGTAGCAGTCAAAGGGGATGGCAGTGAATAGTATAAATATTACCGGTGACGCAGCCAACTAGTTCAATGTTGCGGTGATATTTTTATAACCTTTGACACTCCGACCAACCCCCCACCCATGCGTCCCGTATGCCGCAAATCTCCTTCATTAACAGCCCCCACCTCCCCTCTCAGTGCGCACATAATATAATGAAGGATGGTTACAACTTTTAAAAAAATTACAACCAATCGTTTTTCTCGTTCCATTCACCAGTAGATTTTTATTGGAAAAGGCTAAAACTTCAACAAACGAATTTTAATCGGAATTTTTTCTTTTTTCACCGGCTCTCTGAAAATCGTAGTTTTGGCGGGTCTCGGCGTACAATCGTAAAAGACATCTCAAAATCGTACATTGTACGCCAAAATCGTAAGAGTAAACAGGTCTGCATTTAGGGCTTTGTCTGCTTAAATTTATTTTTTTTATCTGAGTTTCTTTTATGTGTGTGGAAAAAAATTGGGTTTTTTTCATTAACAAAATAAATAAACCATTAAGACATCACTTCAGTATATCAACGTAAACTTACAAATAGAAGCAAGTACTAAATTTTACCTTCAAAATTTCCAATTGTGAAATATTTTCATTTTCTCTTGACTGGAAAGCCTCCAACTTGAAAGCCATATCTGAAATTTGCTCCTTATAATCAGTAATTGTGCACTGTTGCTGAAGCTGAACATTCTCTAGTTCTTTCATCAGACTGCTAGACTGTTCCTTTAATAAGTGATTAGATTTATACATTTTGTTGAAATATCATAGCAACAAAACAGATTTTGAAAACATGACAGTTGCATTATATATATATTCAAGACTTAATATATAAATATATTAGGTAGTTTATTTATACATTCAAAATAAGCTAATAATATACAATGATGAGACATTTCCTTGTGTTACTTGTTATTTTTTACAAACTGCTTTAAATTTAAACTGCACGCACACAAAAAACAGACTTAAAATGATTTTTCTTTTATTTTTACCTTCAAAGTATTCATTTCCGAGTTGTGTTCTTCTTCCCTTGATTGATAAGCCTCAAGCTGACTTGTAAGTTTAGTGATTCGCTCCTCAAATTCAGCTATTATTTGCTTATGTTTAATTTGCAAGACCTCTGATTCTTTCTCTTGAATACTTGATTTCTCCTTTTTACAAAAAAAAATTTTTTTTAAACTCATTTAAAAAAAGGAAAGGTATGAATAATTTAAACTAACTATTTTTGGACTAGTATTTTCAATTCTAATTTTCTTGCATTTGGGGCATTCTCTGCATAAAATTTTAATTTCTGAGTTCCTTTTATGTGTGTGAAAAAATGTGATTTTTTATACGAAAATAAATAAACTAGTTTTGACATGACTCAAGCATATCAAAATAAATTTACAAACCCCTTTAACTTTAACTGCCCCAACACAAAATTAGAAACTTAACATGCGGTGTCTGTTATTTTTACCTTCCACGTATTCAGTTCTGAGATGTTTTCTTCTTCCCTTGATTGATAAGCCTCAAGCTGACTTGAAAATTTAACGATTTGCTCCTCAAATTCAGCTTTTATTTGCTTATGTTTAATCTGCAAGTCCTCTGACTTTTTCTCATAAACACTTGATTTTTCCTTTTAAAAAAAAATTATCAAAAAGTTATGAATGGATTTAAATGAAAATTAATGGACGAAGTATTTTCAATCTTAATTGTCTTGCATTTAAGGCTTTCTCAGCTCAAGTTATTAATTTTTTGAGTTCCTTTTATGTGTGAAAAAAAGAGATCTTTCATGATAAACCAAATCGCGGCATTTCAAAGTCAATTTACAAACTCCTTTAACTTTAACTGCCCCAACACAAAATAAGAGACTTAACATGCTGTGTCTGTTATTTTTACCTTCCAAGTATTCAGTTCTGAGATGTTTTCTTCTTCACTTGATTGATAAGCCTCAAGCTGACTTGTAAGTTTAGCGATTCGCTCCTCAAATTCAGCTATTATTTGCTCATGCTTAATCTGCAAGATCTTTGATTCTTTCTCTTGAATACTTGATTTTTCCTTTTTAAAAAAAAATGGTTTAAAAAATCTCTCATTAAAAATGTATGAATAGATTTATTTAAAACTTAATGTACTAGTATTTTCAATCTTAATATTCTTGCATTGAGGCTTTCTCTGCATAAAATATTAATTTCTGAGTTCCGTTTATCTGTGTGAAAAAAAGAGATCATTCATAAATAAACCAATTAGGATATGACCACGGTATTTCAAAGTCAATTTAAAAATTCCTTTAAATTTAACAGCCCCAACACAAACAGCCGTAACATGCTGTGTCTGTTATTTTTACCTTCCAAGTATGTAGTTCTGAGATGTTTTCTTCTTCCCTTGATTGATAAGCCTCAAGCTGACTTGTAAGTTTAGCGATTCGCTCCTCAAATTCAGCTATTATTTGATCAAGTTTAATTTGCAAGTCTTCTGATTCTTTCTCATGAACACTTGATTTTTCCTTTTTAAAAAATGGTTTTTAAAAAAGGTCATTTAAAAAAAAGAAAGGTATGAACAGTTTTTTTAAAATAATGGACTGGTATTTTCAATCCTAATTTTCTTGCAATTGGTGCTTTCTCTGCTTAAAATATTAATTTCTGAGGGTATTTAAAAGTGTCAAAAACAATTTTTTTTCTCATTATAATAAATTTTAAAAAATTAGACAAGACATGACTACAATATATCAAAGAAATTTAAAAACCCCTTTAATATAATTTCCTTAACACAAAATGACAGACTTAACATGCTGTGTCTGTTATTTTTACCTTCCAAGTATTCAGTTCTGAGATGTTTTCTTCTTCCCTTGATTGATAAGCCTCAAGCTGACTTGTAAGTTTAGTGATTTGCTCCTCAAATTCAGCTATTACTTGCTCATGTTTAATCTGCAAGACCTCTGATTCTTTCTCTTGAATACTTGATTTTTCCTTTTAAAAAATGGTTTTAAAAAAACTCTCATTAAAAATGTATGAATAGTTTTATGTAAAACTTTATGGACTAGTATTTTAAATCTTAATTTTCTTGCATTGAGGCTTTCTCTCTGCATAAAATATTAATTTCTGAGTGTATTTAAAAGTGTCAAAAACTATTTTTTTTTCATTAAAATAAATTTAAAAACTAGATAAAACATTACTACAATATATCAAGGAAATTTAAAAACCCCTTTAATATAATTTCCTTAACACAAAATGACAGACTTAACAAACTGTGTTATTNAACATTCTCTAGTTCTTTTATTAGACTGTTAGACTGTTCCTTTAATATATAAATAGATTTATACAATTTGTTGAAATAGATTTTTAAAACATATTAATTTACATTATGTATACATAAAAAAACAGAGACATACAAAAAACTACTTAGTTTACTTAGAAATATTAAATTCTTGGAAGAGATTGTTTTTATAAATATATATTTATATATATATATATATATATATATATATATATATATATATAATATACAAATATTTGTAAATTATTAAATATTTATATATATAAATAAAGTATGTAGTTTATCAATACATTCAAAGTATGCTAATAAAATTTAATATTGAGGCATTTCACTGTGTTACTTGTTATTTTTACAAACTTCATTAAATTTTAACTGCATAAACAACAAAATACCGCACTTAAAATGATGTGTCTTTTATTTGTACCTTCCAAGTATTCAGTTCTAAGATGTTTTCTTCTTCCCTTGATTGATAAGCCTCAAGCTGACTAGTAAGTTTAGTGATTTGCTCTTCAAATTCATCTATTACTTGCTCATGTTTAATCTGCAAGACCTCTGATTCTTTCTCTTGAATACATGATTTTTCCTTTTAAAAAATGGTTTAAAAAAAACTCTCATTAAAAATGTATGAATAGTTTTATGTAAAACTTTATGGACTAGTATTTTCAATCTTAATTTTCTTGCATTGAGGCTTTCTCTCTGCATAAAATATTAATTTCTGAGTGTATTTAAAAGTGTCAAAAACTATTTTTTTTTTCATTAAAATAAATTTAAAAACTAGATAAAACATTACTACAATATATCAAGGAAATTTAAAAACCCCTTTAATATAATTTCCTTAACACAAAATGACAGACTTAACAAACTGTGTTATTTTTACCTTCCAAGTATTCAGTTCTGAGATGTTTTCTTCTTCCCTTGATAGATAAGCCTCAAGCTGACTTGTAAGTTTAGTGATTCGCTCCTCAAATTCAGCTATTATTTGCTCATGCTTAATCTGCAAGATCTTTGATTCTTTCTCTTGAATACTTGATTTTTCCTTTTTTAAAAAAAATGGTTTAAAAAATCTCTCATTAAAAATGTATGAATAGATTTATTTAAAACTTAATGTACTAGTATTTTCAATCTTAATATTCTTGCATTGGGGCTTTCTCTGCATCAAAGTTTAATTTCTGAGTTCCTTTTATGTGTGTGAAAAAAAAAGAATCTTTCATAAATAAACCAAATAGGACATGACCACAGCATTTCAAAGTCAATTTACAAACCCCTTTAACTTTAACTGCCCCAACACAAAATAAGAGACTTAACATGCTGTGTCTGTTATTTTTACCTTCAAAGTATGTAGTTCTGAGATGTTTTCTTCTTCCCTTGATAGATAAGCCTCAAGCTGACTTGTAAGTTTAGCATTTCGCTCCTCAAATTCAGCTTTCATTTGCTTATGCTTAATCTGCAAGTCCTCTGATTCCTTCTCATGAATACTTGATTTTTCCTTTTCAAAAATGTTTATTTCTCTTTAAAACTCATTAAATAAGAGAGGGCATATAGAGATTTAAATAAATATTAATTGACAAGTCTTTTTAATAGGAATCATTTTGCATTTGGGACTTTCTCTGCTCAAAATATTAATTTATGAGTGCATTTAATGTGTGGGGGGAAAAAAAGTAACTTAAAAAAAAAATATTATAAATTAATAAAACCAGTTAGGACATCACTCCAGTATATGAAAGTAAAATTACTAACAGTAGAAACATTCAAATAATACCTTCAAAATTTCCAATATTGAGTTGTTTTCTTTTTCTCTTGTCTGGTAAGCCTCCAACTTGCACGCCATGTCTGCAATTTGCTCCTTATAATCAGTAACAGTGTGGTGTTGCTGAAGCTGAACATTCTCTAGTTCTTTTATTAGACTGTTAGACTGTTCCTTTAATATATAAATAGATTTATACAATTTGTTGAAATAGATTTTTAAAACATATTAATTTACATTATGTGTACATAAAAAAATCAGAGACATACAAAATACTACGTAGTTTACTTAGAAATATTAAATTCTTGGAAGAAATTGTTTTTATAAATATATATTTATATATATATATATATATATATATATATATATATATATATACATATATATATATATATATATATATTTTTATATATATATATATATATATATATATATATATATATATATATATATATATATATATACACATATATACAAATATTTGTAAATTATTAAATATTTATATATATAAATAAAGTATGTAGTTTATCAATACATTCAAAGTATGCTAATAAAATTCAATATTGAGGCATTACACTGTGTTACTTGTTATTTTTACAAACTTCATTAAATTTTAACTGCATAAACAACAAAATACTGCACTTAAAATGATGTGTCTTTTATTTGTACCTTCCAAGTATTCAGTTCTGAGATGTTTTCTTCTTCTTTTGATTGATAAGCCTCAAGTTGACTTGTAAGTTTAGCGATTCGCTCCTCAAATTCAACTGTTATTTGCTCATGCTTAATTTGCAAGACCTCTAATTCTTTCTCTTGATTACTTGATTTTTCCTTTTAAAAAATGGTTTTAAAACACTTATTAAATAAAGAGGGGCATAAAAAGATTTACATAAATATTAATGGACAAGTATTTTTAATCTTACTCATTTTGCATTTGGGACTTCCTCTGCTTAAAATATTACTTTCTGAGTTCATTTAATGTGTGAAAGAAAAAGTGATTTTTCAGTTAAAAATTAATAAAAGAGTTAAGACATCACTCCACTATATCAAAGTAAAATTACAAACAGTAGCAACTTATAAATATTACCTTCAAAATCTCCAATATTGAGTTGTTTTCTTTTTCTCTTGACTGGTAAGCCTCCAACTTGCAAGCCATATCTGCTATTTCCTCCTTATAATCAGTAATTGTGCACTGTTGCTGAAGCTGAACATTCTCTAGTTCTTTCATCAGACTGTTAGACTGTTCCTTTAATATGTAATTAAATTTATACAATTTGTTGAAATTTCATAGCAACACAACAGATTTTTAAAACATGACAATTTGCATTATTTATGTACAAAAAAGTGACGTACAAAATACTATGAAGTTGAATTAGAAATAGTATATTCTTGGCCTATATTGTTTTTATAAATATATAAAAGAATATTGGGAAATGTTTATAGCTATTATATAATACCAAAGGTAATATGTCAGTAAGTAAAGAGAATTGTTAATGAGTGTATTTGGTGCAGAGAATAATTGTGTAGCTGTTGGTATTTAGTTTGTATTGATGAAGTTTTGGGGTATGAAATGCTTAATTTTGCACCTAACACCAAAATTTAATATAGCATGAAATTCTTGAGAGAAAGAGTAAATAATGTGCAGCCGGGCAGAAACAACACTCCCACTGCTAGAGTATAAATTGTTGCAGTTTTTTCCAGTGTAGATAGTGCACCTCCAGGAGAGATGAATTTCACAAAATATATCCATCCTGTGACCCAATGTGCTATACTTTGCTTTTCTTATATGGGGATTCAGGATGGACTAAGATCAGAACAAAGGTGTTGGGCAAGGAAATGTGTTTCAGCTTCAATAGTATTCATAGTATTTTGCCATTGGTGAGATGGAAACCTTCACCAGGCCCTCAACCCAGGAAAGCTAACTCACCCAACATTGTTGATGCCTATTGCAAGACAGAGGCAAACCATCTAAATGGGTTTAGAAAAATAAAAACACAATAAGAGCTGAAGACAAGGATGAGGCCCATTAGTGAAAAACCAAAATTTTTGAGGGCTCTATTGCCAGGAAACAAAGTTACATTGCCTTCAAACTTCATGGGAGTCCAAGACATATGGCTCAAAATTACAAAGATACTATAGTTATGGTCAGGAAGTATGGCAAACTTGACTTATTAGTAGCAATCATGTGTAATCCTAAATGATGTGAAATCATAGAAAACTTACTTCCCCATCAGCAACCATGCGACCAGCCTGATAGAGTGGCAAGAGTTTTTCAGCTGAAAATGAAATTGCTACTTAAAGACTTAACCACACTACATAGATTTGGACATGTTAGGGATATGCTCTAAGTGATTGTGTTTCAAAAACGTGGTCCACCAGGAGGCACATATTCATGGCCCCGGAACAGAAAGCCTGTGAGAATGAAAATATTGACAAAATTGGATGTGCAGAACTCCCTGATAAAGATGCCACCGGATGCTACATGAAATTGTAAAATCCTGTATGATACATGGTCCATGTGATCCATTAAATCCAAATACATGTTTTAGGAAAACAGCAAATGCACATAAGAATAGCCAAAAGATTTCTGTGCAGAGGTTAACAGCAATGTCAATGGTAACTCCAAATATTAACGCTGAGATGATGGTAACTGTGTTTAACCTTGGGAAAATATTGGATAATAGTGGATAACAGGTGGATGATGCCATACAACCCATAACTGTCTCTGAAATACAACTTCCACATGAACACAGAGATTTGCAGCTTAATTCAAAGCGTTAAATACCTCTTCAAAAACGTTTACAAGGAGCATAACTCTGGACTTATTCGATTTGTTACTGTCCCCACAGAACAGGAAGGTACATTCGATGAGACGAAGTAAAAAATTATTTGGTGACTTGATATAAATTATTTGGTGACTTGATACGTAAGTGCACCTCAGACATGCTGGAGTCTCGGGGAATACAAAATCCACAACCAAACTGATCATGTGGAAAGATTAAATGTCCACCTTGAGGACAAGCATACAATAAATTTTATACCAGGAAAGGAAACTGAAGGATTATAGAAAAAAGCAAACATTCATTTAAGGTCTCTGTCTTGGTTTAAACTTAATCAGGAAGACCCTAATGCCAGAGAGCATTTATATATTGGAATTCCCAAACACTATACCTGGGATGACAAACATTCAAAATGGAAAGCACACCTTAGAGGACATGAAACTGCAAGAGGCAGAATATTTACAGTGAATCCCACAGATAGAGAAAAAATGATTCCTCCGAATATTCCTTCTCAATGTTGGAGGAGCAACATCTTACAAGGACCTAAGAACAGTCAAAAGAACTTTCCAAGAAGCATGCATTGCAAGGGGATTAACTGATGATGACTCAGAATGGGACACTTGCCTAGCAGATGCTGCAGTCCATCAAATGCCAGTAAAACTTAGGCAGTTGCTTGGATTTATTTGTATCATGTGCAAGCCATTGGATGCAGCAGAAATAAGCACAATCTTATAAGAGACGATTTCATGATGGAGAAAAGCTCTTTATTTAAAACTGAATCTGTGCTTCGAACACGTGGAAAGTCATGGCAGATTTTGCCCTAGATATTCTAAACAGCAAATATGACACATATGGCAAAGAAGCGTTTTCTAAAAATTTGAAAACCCTAACTTACTCAAACGTCTTTTTCTTTTCGATGTACCTGGAAGACGCGGTAAAACAACACAATCTATGTGTGTAGCAAAAATTAATTAGTTTTGCCATGTGCATTTACAGGTATAGAAGCAAATTTGCCTTGGGGTGGCGGAACTTCCCTCAGTTGCTTCAAGCTGCCTTTTCTAATAAATGAAACATCAAACTGTAATGTTTGACATACAATGGATGAACTGAAAAAGATCAAATTGATAATCTGGGATGAAGCTTCAATGGCCCCGGCACATGCAATAAATGCAGTTGACACACTATGTAAAGAAATCTTAGCTGAAGATCGAAAATTTCCTTCTAAAATCCATTTGGAGTTGCAGACTTCTTTTTCTGTGGAGATTTTAAACCAATTCTCGGTTGTTCCACATAGGTGCTGAAGGGAAATTCTTCATGAATGAAGAATGGTAAATTTTGGAAAAATATTCAGGTCCTAAAGTTAGATCAAAACATGGGTGCCTATGAGGACAATGTCCCATCAGAACACAGAGGATTTTCCAAAAATTGGCTTATAAAACTTCAGAATGGAAAATTACAAGAGCCAGGATCTTTGAAATTCCTCTAGTCCATTCCTACATTTGCAAGTGTAATTGTTACAAACCCCTTTAAATTTTAACTGCACCAAGACTAAATAACAGACTTAAATGCTTTGTCTTTCATTTTTACCTTCCAGGTCTTCAGTTCTGAGTTGTTTTCTTCTTCCCTTGATCGACAAGCCTCAAGCTGGACAGTAAGTTTAGTGTTTTGCTCCTCCATTTCAGCTATTATTTGCTCATGCTTAATCTGCAAGTCCTCTAATTCTTTCTTTTGATTACTTAATTTTTCCTTTAAAAAATTCATTTAAAAAATGGAACGGTATGAATAGGTTTATTTACAAATCAATGGACAAGCATCTTCAATCTATTTTCTTGCATTTGGGATTTTCTCTGCTTAAAATATTACTTTCTGAGTTCATTTAATGCGTGGAAAAAAAAGTATTTTTTCATTAAAAAAATAAACCAGTTAAGACATCACTTCAGTATATCAAAGTAAACTTACAAAAAATAGAAACTTCTACTAAATATAACCTTCAAAATTTCCAAAAGTGAGTTGTTTTCTTTTTCTCTCGACTGGTAAGCCTCCAACGTGCAAGCCATATCTGAAATTTGCTCCTTATAATCTGTAACAGTATGCTGTTGCTGAAGCTGAACATTCTCTAGTTCTTTCATCAGAGTGTTAGATTTTTCCTATAATAATTTATTAGATTTATACATTTTGTTTAATTAAATAGAGAAACAACAGATTATTAACCCTATCCACCTCAAATGGGTGTAACACACCTGGAGACAGTCTTTGATTGCTGACATCTCGAGTTTCCTTTTAATAATTTTTATCATACTCGACCTAATCCAGAAGGTAGTTTGAATTAACACCTTGGTGGATGCAATTGTATAAAGCCTGCGAAAGTGACTTATTTTTTGGGGCTTGTGAACTTTTTTGTTTGGTTGTTGTTTGTTGATTATTTGATTCTGTGTCATCAATAAAATAGATTTTGACAATGAATAAATATTATGAATACATTTGGGTACCAACAATAATTAAATGTATTCAACTTGACAAACCATTTCAAAACAACAGTCACATGTACACATAGGAAATAGAGGCTTTGTGGCTCAGATTGCACAGTTTTTACATAAAAGCACAGAACGGTCTTTGCAAATATGCCCAATAAACTTGCTGAGTTGAAGTGATTTGGGCAGATGTTTGAAGTGTTTGTAAAGATTTCAAAACACTGACGAAGTTCTGCCTCACAATATCTTGATGCGTCTGGGCGTATCTCCTTTACTTGCGAAAGGGTGAGGAAGTGTGCAAGTCAATATTGACTGTCTGTTGTCTTCATGAGACAGTGAGTTAGTTGCATAGTTATATTTAAATGCCACTCTTGATGTCATTGATGTTAAGTCAAAAATGTTGAAAAACACAACCAAAGGCCATCTTTTAATTTTAGTTTTTTTGTATTCACAGAGAACACTTTCACCATTTAGTCCATGGCGAATATGCCTCCTTTAATTTTGTTGTTATAGTGCACAATTTCTGGTTTCTTGCATTCAGTTTCACTTTCTATATCTGGACGGTTGTGTATTATGTTCAGGAGCAATACATTTTTCTGCTTCGAGCTCTGGTATTTGATAAGGGTGGTTTCTAGTTTGAAAAAAACCCACTAATTTCATAGGGCAGAGCCTTCTTTTGCTTGAAGCCCTTGGGGTAGGAACATCTTGTTCCGTTTCACGCTTCCAACTAGGGTTAGTCTGTTCTTGGCCATTGGTTCCGCAAGTTGTAAGGGAATGAAATAATAGTCTGTTCTGAAATTGAGGAAGTCTCTTAAGAGAGAAATCACAGTCTCTTCCAACATTTCTCCTTGCTGGGAGGGCACTTGCATTTTCTTTGCCGAGATATTGGCATCCGCTCAGAGGATAGTTCGAAGTCGATTCACAGTCACAGGCCCAGAAGATTTGTATTCTATATTTGTCAGGCTAGCTTGGCATATATTGAATAAATCTGCATCAACCTCTGAAATCAACCCGTTGCTCACCTACTGTCATGTTCTTTCCACGGACATAATACCTTGCCAAAATACTCAGGAATGCTTCTCATACATCTCTTATTATTTGATCAAAGATGTCACGAGCTAGAAAGGCTTGATCTAGTATCATTGTTGTTAAAACAAGTATGAATCTCATCATTGAAAATGTGCCCTAAAAATAGGATTTCCATCAAAATGGCTGAATAAAAAGTCCACTGAAATGCTGTTGAGATGAAGATTGCCAGTGTATAGTAGTAGTAGCAGTAGGCAGCCAGTAAAAGCTTTCATTTAGATCGTCATCATTCCTTTGCCATTTGCCTCCTCTTACTTTCTTGCATTCACTGTTGGTGCAGTCAACTAATGTTTGTATCATTTTTTTATTAATGTACAAAAGACATGCTTCAATGAGAGAAACAATGTGATCCATATCCGTGAAGGGAGTTCGGTTTCAAGGCAACTAAATCATGCCACATAGTAAAAAAGAAAATAAAGAGAACCAGAGGAGTAGCTAGAGTGTTTGGCGCCCGGGGACAATTTTCATTTTAAAGAGCCTCCCTTTCTTTTCTCAACTCTCAAACCCAATTATTTTGATCAATAAAATGATATCAAAGCACATTTTAGCGCCCCTAACTAGTCTGGCGCCCAGGGACATCTGTCCCCCACTGCCCCCCTAGCCAAGCCTCGGAAGAGAACCATTTACTGTGAAATAAGACTATCGGTGCAACCCACCCAGTTTCCAGGAATAGCCAGAAACACTTTCTCCAATTATAGTATGTGTACGGGTGCGCTAGACCCTGTTGCTAGGGACAGGGTATACAATATGTTGAGGTGGATAGGGTTAAAACTTGTCATTTATGTATCTATATACTAGAATAGAGACATAAAAAATGCAATTTAGTTGAAATAGAAATATTATATTCTTGGCATATAAAATTTCGACACATATATGGGGTAATTTAAAAATAAACTCAAATTAACCCACGAAGTGTGGTCTGCCAATCATCTCGGCCGATTTCCTCTTTCTAAACTGTATTGGCCGATTTTAATTGCCTTGAAAGAATAAGTTCCAGTCCAACATTTTAAACCAAATACAACTAATTCCTTTTAATAATAAATAAACTACAGTTTTTCCCTCTTCTGTGTCCTTTTTGTAAACTTTGGAGTTATTTTTTTCAACGATCTTTTTCAAGCAACTTTGTGTAAGTAGATTTTCGCAAACTGGATGAGGCAATAGCTGGACCATCTGGCTTACAAAATAAATCAGGAATCTTTTTATCTTTTTGATAATTCTTATTAGTTAATGACTTAGTTGATTCGGAAGATGATTTTCCGATTACACATGTAGACAAAGATAATTCAATTATTTTCCTAGTGGGTCAGAAATCGAAAGTTGGGAGGATTTAGACCTAGGCCTAGAGCGAGTGTGCGTTGCACCAACAACATGACTCGTTCAAAACTATGTTGCAAATGATTTTGTACCAACAAAAAATAATTGGATGTTGTACTATATGTTTTCTTATATTTCATTTTATGGATTAAATAATAATATAGCAGCTATTTGTTACTTGAACGTAATTATAGGTATCAGAAGAATTTTTTTTTTTTAATCTATTAATAACTAAAACATATACAAGTAATACATTTTCTGAAAGATATATAAATATGTTATCATATTATATAAACACTATAATAATATGCCTTTAATTTACTTTTCATTATTTTCTTTATTCTTGGTCACTCCAAGGTCAAGGTCACGGTCAGTAAGTATAAAATATCATTAAAAAATAGCCAGTAGGATTCCCCACTCAGTCTACTTTAAATAAATATAGCTTTATGGGGTCTAGCTATAGTATTTGCATGTAAAAAATCACCTTTTTCAAAGGCACCCAAAAAGCTCAAAATTCCCCGCGCAGTACAGAAACATTACATACATACTTCGTGGGTTAAGATAAATATTCAATAATAAGACATTTTCTTATGCAATTAGTAAAAACCCCTTTCAATTTTAACTGCAGCAACAAAAAATAACAGACTTAAAATGTTTTCCCTTTTCTTTTTACCTTCCAGGTCTTCAGTTCTGAGTTGTTTTCTTCTTCCCTTGATCGACAAGCCTCAAGCTGGACAGTAAGTTTAGCATTTTGCTCCTCCATTTCAGCTATTATTTCCTCATGCTTAATCTGCAAGTCCTCTAATTCTTTCTTTTGATTACTTGATTCGTCCTTAAAACATTCATTCAAAAAAGAAAAGGTATGAATAGATTTATTTAAAAATTAACGATCAAGCATCATCTCAATTTTCTTGCATTTGGGCCATTTCTCTGATTAAAAAATTAATTTCTGAGTTCATTTAATGTGTGAAAAAAGTGAATTTTCATTTTAAAAAATAAAATAAACCAGTTAAGACATGACTACAGTACATCACAGTAAATTGACAAACAGTGGCAAGGTCTAAATATTACCTTCAAAATTTCCATTTGCAAGTTGTTTTCTTTCTCTCTTGACTGGTAATCCTCCAACTTGCAAGCCATATCTGAAATTTGCTCCTTAAAATCAGCAACAGTGCGCTCTTGGTGAATCTGAATATTCTCAAGTTCTTTCATCAGACTGTTTGATTTTTCCTTTAATAAATGATTATATTTATACAATTTGTTAAATTAGATAGAAACACAACATAGTTTTAAAACTTGTCAGTTCAGTATAAATATACATAAACTGAGACAGAAAAAAGTACCATTTAGTTGACTTTAAAATATTAATTTACTTCGCTCAAATTGTTTTTATAAATACATATATAAATATATATAAAAATATTGGACAACTTATATATATATATTATATATATATATATATATATATATATATATATATATATATATATATACAATTGTTATTTTAAATAAATTAAAATAAGATAAAAATATTCAATAATAATATATTTTCATATTATTTTATTAAAAACCCCTTTTTATTATAAAAATATATATAAATATATATAAAAATAATGGAAAAAATATATATATATATTATATATATATATATATATATATATATATATATATATATATATATACATACATACAATGGGTATTTTAAATAAATTCAAATAAGATTAAAATATTCAATAATAAGACATTTTCATATGTATTTAGTAAAAACCCCTTTTTACTTTTAACTGCAACAAAACAAAATAACAGACTTAAAATGTTTTCTCTTTTATTTTTACCTTCCAGGTCTTCAGTTCTGTGTTGTTTTCTTCTTCCCTTGATTGACAAGCCTCAAGCTGGATAGCATGTTTAGCATTTTGCTCCTCCAATTCAGCCAATATTTGATCATACTTAATTTGTAAGACCTCTAATTCTTTCTTCTGATTACTTGATTCATCCTAAAAACATTCATTTAAAAAGGAAAGGTATGAATAGATTTATAATGAAATTAATGGTCAAGCATCATCTCAATTTTATTGCATTTGGGCCATTTCTCTGCTTAAAATATTAATTTCTAAGTTCTTGAATGTGTGTGGAAGAAAATGTAATTTTTCCTTAAAATATATATATATATATAAATAATCCAGTTAAGACATCACTTCAGTATACCAAAGTAAATTTACAAACAGTTGCAAGTTCTAAATATTACCTTCAACATTTCCAAATGTGCATGGTTTTCTTTTTCTCTTGATTGGTAAGCCTCCATTTGGCAAGCCATATCCTCAGATTCAGCTGTTATTTGCTCATGCTTAATCTGCAAGACTTCTAATTCTTTCTTCTGATTACTTGATTTTTCCTTTAAAAAATAAATTAATTAAAAAAAGGAAAGGTATGAATAGATTTATATACAAAATCAATGGACAAGCATCTTTAATCCCGATTTTCTTGCATTAGGGCCTTACTCTGATTAAAAAATTAATTTCTGAGTTCATTTAATGTGGGAAAAAAAGTGAATTTTTATTTTTAAATATAAATGAAATGTTAAGACATGAATACAGCACATCACAGTCAATTGACAAACAGTAGCAAGGTCTAAATATTACCTTCAAAATTTCCATTTGCAAGCTGTTTTCTTTTTCTCTTGACTGGTAATCCTCCAACTTGCAAGCCATATCTGAAATTTGCTCCTTAAAATCAGCAACAGTGCGCTCTTGGTGAATCTGAATATTCTCAATTTCTTTCATCAGACTGTTTGATTTTTCCTTTAATATGTGATTAAATTTATAGAATTTGTTAAATTAGAAACACAACAGAGTTATAAAACTTGTCAGCTCAGTCTATATATACATAAACTGAGACAGAAAATATACCATTTAGTTGACTTTAAAATAATAATTTTCTTCGCTCAAATTTTTTTTATAAATTTATAGATTATGTCTCTTTTGATATTTTTATGTTTGTTCGGTGAGCCCAGCTCTAGGCTGGGGTACCGCGCTATAAAAGACCACTAATTATTATTATTTTTATTATATAAGTAAGAATATTGGGTAATTTATTTTTATATATATATTGTTTAATTTATATATACATATTTTGGATAATTTTAAAAAAAAATTTAATTAAGATAATAATATTCAATAATAAGACATTTTCTTGAGTAATTATTAAAAAACCCTTTCAATTTTAACTGCATAAACACATAATAACCGACTTAAAAATGCTTTGACTCTTTTATTTTTACCTTCCAGGTCTTCACCTCTGAGTTGTTTTCTTTTTCTCTCGATTGATAAGCCTCAAGCTGACTTGTAAGTTTAGCGCTTTGATCCTCAAAAGTAGTTATTATTTGCTCATGCTTAATCTGCAGGACCTCTAATTCTTTCTCGTGATTACTTGATTTTTCCTTTCCAAAAAAAAAAAAAAAAAAAGTATTTTAAATAATTAAAAGGCAATGTTTGAGTGTCATTTCTCAACTAAGTTGCAAGTGTCAAGTTTGCTCATGCTTAATCTGCAGGACCTCTAATTCTTTCTCGTGATTACTTGATTTTTCCTTTCCAAAAAAAAAAAAAAAAAAGTATTTTAAATAATTAAAAGGCAATGTTTGAGTGTCATTTCTCAACTAAGTTGCAAGTGTCAAGATAATTTCATTATTTTATTATTTTATAATATGCATTTTACCCCAATCAACATTGTAAGAATCATAAAAAAATGTGTTGAGGTACAGCATTTTACTCACTTTTAATTGCTGCTCAAAATCAATTTTTGACTTGTCAAAGTCAGCTTTCAGGGAGTCCATCTGCACATCCAGAGGATTAACAAAAAATATAGACATAAGACTTATTAAAAACAGATTTAAATAAAAAGTAATGGACAAGTATCTTCTGTATCAATTTTCTTGTTTTTGGGCCTTTGATTAAAATATTGATTTCTGAGTTCATTCAATGTCTGAAAAAACATGTTTTTTTTATTTTAAAAATAAATTAATCAGTTCAGCCATGACTCCACTATATCAAAGTTGAGTGAAACCAGGTATGTGATTTCAGATTCAGAAATAGGTATCTTTTGAAACAGTGTATGCATAGCAATTTATTCAGGAATGCTTTTATTTTCTTCTTAGCATTTGAATAAGTAAAATGTCAGTGTGATGCCTGATAGTGAGAAATAAATTAATTTTAGACAATGCATAGACTTTAAAGGGTTAACCTGGTATTTGAGTATACAAGCATTACCTGCATCAACCTGTTGAAGAGGGCATCTCTTTCTTCCTTGACTTCCTTCAACTCACCCATTAGTTCACGCAGCTGTATATCCACAAAAACACTCATGTTCTCACCAGCCTCAGTATCTGGGATTATTTAAAGAATTTCATGGTTTAAAATTTGTTTGCTGGTATAGTAGTAAACATCTGATCTCACAATCATAAGAACAAAACTTACACAGACCTGCCAACCTGCCAAGAAAAAAAATCTGTAGGGGCAAAGCACGCAAGGGGGCAGTGGGGCCGCTGCCCCCCAGAGATTGCGCCCCGTTGGGATGGGGGGTTTGTTAAGATCTATATACTAATGCACAGCCTTTTTAGTAAATAAAGAAATATAAAGTTATCTCCATCGTCTTTGAAGAGTCCACAGAACACCACAGAACATGAAAAAAACATTACCGGTACTAGAAATGTTTATATACAGATATATACAGTACAGAACAGAAGATCCATTTTATTTACATATGTACACAGGCAGCAAGAGTTCAGTTTTCCAGCATATCCCTAGTGGACCTTTTGCACTTGTCCAACAGCTCTTTGAACAACTGAAGGTTAGCATTGCAATTGATTTTAGTTACAAGCAAGTTAGATATGCTTGCCCTTTTTTCATAGTAATTTTTCTTTACAATCTTCTAGCATTCTGTGAGTCTGGAAACATTTCTTTGACTCTTGCATCAAAATGATCGGCTCAAGAAATATTTCTTTCCTTGTTTATTAATATCATTGTACCCATCAATTTCAATAGATTTAACCATTTAATTAATAAAAGGTTTAACAAAAAAACAAAAAAAAAGTCTGCATTATTTTTTAGCCTTGTTAAAGGATAAATCACGATCGGATCAATTAGTGATTGAAGAATGATTTGAAGATCGCGGTTCGCTTCGATAAAAACAAGGCAGTGTCTTCCAGTCCGGCGACCGGACAAATAGTGCGGGAGATATTCATTCGGCGGGCATGCCACGCTTTATAAAAAGCATTGTCACTTTTCAACCAACTGTTCATTATATATACCAGCAATGGTTCTAGTATTTCTTTTACATAATTGAACATATTTCTTTTTCATGTAAATGTCCAGACTATCTTGAATTTGTTGAAATAGAGTACGGTAAACTCTGATCAACAAGTAGCGGTCACAGAACAAGGCTGGCGGACAAATATCCAGCGCAACTTTGTTACGGTGGTTATGTGACTTGGTTGAATATATTATTTATAGATGAATATCTCGAGAATTTATTCACTTATTTGTCGGGTCGCCGGACATGTATGCACTTCGCAAAAACAAATGCAGCACTTCCTGTCGTACCCGATTATGCTTTTCTAGTGTTGCTTTTGGATTTTTATGACGGGTAAAAAATTATGAAGTTAGAAAAATCTGAATTTTAAGGGGATTGTCGGAATGAAGGGTACAAAATCTTTATAATTCCGACAAAATCGGAAGGGTTGGCAGGTCTGCTGATATTAGAAATGAATTGGCAGAGGACAATGTGAAACAAAGAATTCTTGATGACATCTTTAAGGGACAAGGTATCAGATGTTTTAAAAATGAATACACAATTAACAAGACACAAGAATTTAATTCTCTTTCAGTAACCATGTACCAATGAGGTTATACCAGTGAGGTTAAAGCCACTGATATCAGTAACCAGAATACTGGTATCAGTAACCATGTACCTATGCGGTTACAATAATACTGATAAGAGTGACCATGTACTTACCAATGAGGTAAGATTACGTACAGTTAAGAATTATCCACTTTAATATATTTAGTATAAAAATCCTGTAGACCAGCAAACTTTCCCTACCATTTCGAGTGCCATGAAGCTCGTCCAGTTCTTGACGCAGTGTTTTATTGACCTCCTTAACCATCTGAAAATTGCTCAGCATAACTTCCTTATCACTTTCCAATTGCTGCTTGACATTGTGCATTTCTTCCAGCTGACGCTTGAGGCTCTCAACCTGATCCTGAAGCTGACTTACAGTTTGCTGAAGAATCTTCTGGTCATCATTTGTCTTCTTTAGTAAATTGAGCTATAATTGAGGAGAAATGAATTGTGTTTCTTTTTCAATGCCTCACAACATTACCAAAAATGACATGTACAGGACATATGGATCAAAATAAACTAGCAGTTAATTAAGTAATTTTGGTAACCTACTTTGGGCTAGTATTAAATATGTAAAACAGTGATTTAAATGAAAATATTTCATGCTTCACTGACTCACACAATAAAGCATCACAACCAGGGTCAAGTGGGACAAGTGGTAACAACACAAAGACAAACATTTTTAATCAGAATCTGCGTCTGACAGCTGTCAACAATGAGAAGTAAGAAAAAGTGACAGAGAAAGTCATGTTTACCTCATGACGCAACTTATCCAACTCCTCGCACTGTGCATTTATCTCTTTTTCTTGATGTTTGGCTTGATCTTCAAAATCTTGCAACTTTAAAACTTTGTTCTTATATCTGAAATAAAATATTCTATCTATTTAGGCTGAATCATTTTAACAAAACTTTATCTGAAAATTCATTATTTTATGTTCAGGTTCTGAAAAATTATATTACAACTAGCCAAATGTGTTATGTTTTACAGAAAATGTAACATTTATTGGTTTTAAATCATTGTCTTGTAAATACTTCACAAAATACTAAATAAAGTTTAATTTATTATTTTTTAAAATTTAAATATAGCTACTAATCAGGCTCTCTCTCTAAATGAAATCCCAATATAACACTTTGAGTAAAATATGCTGTATGTTTTAACGAATAAACATATTTTACGTAGTTTCATTTTATTTTTACTTTCACTTGTTTGAATATGTAAATATCTATTTATGGTCATCGATGCTTTTAAATGAAGATTTCCAGCTGTAGATTTACTTGAAATACAGTTTATTGAGTTCTTTGTTAATCTTAAAATTATTTCAAACCCACTTGAATAGTTCATCTTCCATTTCTCTGTAACTGAGTTTTAATTCTTGAAGATCATCCATGGCATCTTGTAAAAGAACAAGTTCTTTGATCCTGCTCTGCAATTTAGCAATCTCAGTATCTGAAACACAATGTAAAATAGTGGCTATACAATAAGATTTCGAACATTTCAAATTTCTGAATCTGAATACCTATTATAACACAAATAAAATTAAGACATGCTTGCACGCACACAACATGATATTTCACAAAAGATTTGTTACGTTAAAATCCTCTCATCCACAAACTTTAATTAAATTAGCTTAAAGATGGCATACCTTTCATAGCACACTGAGATATATGATCCTGAATTGTAAATTTTAACTCATCCTTCATATATATCTCATCATTCAGTTGCTGTTTTAACTTACGAATCTCAAGCTCCTTTTGATTCAGGCTGGCCTAAGTTATGACAAACAAAAAGATAAAGATGTATAATATTTAGCATTATTTTTTTAAAATGTATTTGGATGAGACACAGCTGCTTCATTTTGACAAGTAAATATAGAACTTCAAATTCAATTTACCTTTCTTTTTAAAAATCAAGAGCTTCCTACAAATAATATTTTTTTAAAATGTTTCTTGATGAAGGCTATGTCATACACTGGGTGGCCGAGCTTTCTGAACTGAGTCAATCCCCAGCAAAAGCCTAGACAAGCAAAAAGAACACTAGGACCCTGGATGGATGGGACACGTTAACCTTGAATAACAACTCATCTAAGAACTGTGAAATCAAATTCTGCAATGGAGTCCTATATGTGGTATGCAGAGAATGGAGGAGGATCGTTTTCATGTCATCTGTGGCGCCCCAACGGTCCAAGGACTAAGGGACATGATGATAATGATGTAGTATGACACTGACACAAAGAAAATGCCAACAACTCATGTGACGTGGAACATGTAAAGAGCAAAGTGAGATATACAAAATAAACACTGCTGGTCATCTACTGCATCCTGGTCTATTTCCATTCACCTTGACTAAGTCTTGCCATTGAAACAAATAATCAAGGACCATAGATTGAGGCTGGCAAATTGAGCAGCTGTCCCTCACTTTAAACAAAATACAGCTCAAGTTAAAGCTAATACTCCGTCAAAGCCTTTGTCATCTTTGCGTGAGAAGGACAAACAATATAATACACTAACTAAAATAGTATCTTTAATTCATATAAAAGTTAATGGCTGGGTAACTGGAGTAATATTTATTCAGAAAATTTACTCTTAACTTTTAAACATTGCTTGTCCAATATGATTGCTAATTTGAAAAGCCACTCATATGCAGTCATAACTATTTAACTAAAATATAATCAAACCAACTCAGGATGTGACAGACTGGTTTAGAAACTAAATTATCAAATTCTAAAATAAACTTTAGGAAATTTTATAATTACGTTTCATAAATTTTTACCTCAAACATCTTTAATTTATTTTATAATTTATAATTGGTTGTAGTCCTATCAAATAAAAAAATCTTACCTTTTGAATCAGCTGAGGAGATTGCACAAACTGCATAAGGAGTGATGAGGAAGATGTGGTATCAATACTAAGACCTCTAAGGGGAGATGATAGATCCTGCAGTGAACAGTTCAAAGATGTATTCGTCCTCAGTGGACTGTCTTTAAAAAAGAATGAAGCTGTGGTAGTGTGACGACGATCTTTTGGTGTTGATGCCTTTTGCTGGCACATGATGGGTGGACTGAAAGCACTATCTAAAGAAAACAGAAGAAACTTTTATGAATTCAACAGCAAAGAAAAAACTACATACATAAAAAGGGTTTTAAAATGAGATCAACAAAAATTTGTTAGCGGACATACAGAATACAACATTGCTCTTCAACTCTTGCTTCTTCCACTATTGTGGGGAAATTGTCTAAAAGTGGTCTTTACAAGTATTAGCAGCATTTTATTTACATATACATTTTGCATTTATTAACAAAGTTGAATTAGTTGAAATAACAAAGAAAAGAAAAACTGTTGCCACTTACTTCCTGGTACAATCAAAACCTTTTCAATGTTTTCCGTCAATACAAACTCTGTGCTTCCCGCCTGAACCACAGATTGAATTAGGTCCACAATATCTTGGTGCATTTCTTCAGGGACCTTCATTGCAGCATCCATAAAGTATTTACCGTTCTTGTCTAAAACTCCAATTCCAATGAGGACCAAAGCTATCTATATAATTAAAATCAATATAGGGTGACATTTTAAAATTCTGAAGTGTTAATCTTTATTAGGTCAATCCAGGAACCTGGAGACACAAACTTTATTTATTTTTTTTTTTTCCACCAGGTATGACAGAAACAGAATAATAAATATTTATTTATTATATTTGTTTTTGTTACCGTACTGCAGTTAAAAAACTTTACAATTATTTTAAGTTGCACTTTCATTAAAATTAATTTTAAAATATAATACTTTTGCAAGTTCCAACTCAACAAGTGCAGGAATCTCAGATTTGAGGATGGCGTCGAATTTAATAAACTTGTCTACTTGGATGCTGACACCATAATAGTCTGAAGAAGAAAAAAAAATGTAAGCGTACTAAAACCATAAGAATAAACCATTTGAAAATGCCTGAGAAATATATAATATACAAATCAAGGTTTTAATAGAAGATTAAAGTTATCATAATAGCCTAAATTATAAATGTTATTGTTCAATGTTATTGTTCAAAGAGACTGCTAGGCCTAGGTTATTATTCAAGTGTATTTTAATAAAATGGATAAGAAATTCTTTGCATTTTCTAACCTTGCAGAAATTTTTTTATAGAAAGTAACCACTCAGCTTCATTGGCAGGGTGTGCATCTTTATTCCCTGGCTCTCTGTTGAAAAAAATAACTATGGGTAATTCATGCAGCCTTTTAGAAAATAAAGACAATCCTATAATATTATAGCAGTTGTTTTTTTTTTATTTTGAAGATAATTACTCTTTTCTCTACCTAACAATGTCAGGAAGTAGGTTGTAAGAACTGCAGTTTAACTAATAATACTTACAAAAGGCTTAAGACATGCAAATAAAACTTGCCATCCCTAAGTTCAAGAAGATCTGCAGTTTGTCGGCCCCACAGTAGGGCTATCTGTTAGCAAGAAAGAATAAAGTCCCATGATTTTACATTATTTACTGTGCAAAGGTTAAAGATATAAGACAAATTGAAAATATTCATGTATTTAAATAGTACTTAATCATTATGACTCGATCAATATTTTAAAATTGAAGAAAATAATATGATTACTCACCATATGTAAAATAGCAGAGCGCTTCTTTTCATCTATCTTTGGGGCCATATTTGGTAAATTAACTCATAAATCCAAGGCAGCTGAAAATGTAAACGAGTTCAACTAATTGTACATTTTTCATAAAAATTTTGTTTTTCTTAGGTTTTGGGAGTAAAAGAAAATAATAAATCCAAATATTATAGTAAAGGTTGAAGAGATGGTAGGCGGGTAGGTAACACCAAATCTGTACCAGGAAAGAGAACCTTAAATAATATCAGTCAGTGTCCTAACTAGTAAGAGTAAACATGATGATAAAATGAAACATTAAAACAGCATTCATCACGGTAATATCTTATTTTAGTGTCATAGTACTCATAGATTAAAATAGAATGAAAATAAAGTTTTTTCTTGATAGCTTTTTAGGCCTAATTTTATATTCTGTAAAAAAAATTTTTTTAAAAAAGCATAAAATAACAACCAATTTTCTCATTTTACAAGCAAAATTTTTTTAACTCCAGCAATCTTTTGTCATTTAATGCACTATGAATGGCTGACTTTGTCCGTCATTGAGGTGTTCTTCGTAAAGAAAATGTCAACATCTGTTAACTTTGAAGCAATAAAAAATCTATTTATTAGGCTAATAATAATTTTTTTTTTTTTAAGTCACTTTAAAAATCAAACGTTACTACGGTGCTGTCTAACATGCTGCCATCATATCACCCGCCACAGCTTGAGACATTTTTATAATTGTAAAAAGTAAAACATTTTCAGGTGAACATATTTTCAAACCACATTAAATGATTCAGAATTGTTGATAAATCCCCTGAGAGCATTGGAGAAGTGGTAACATGGAAAAGGGGGAGGTCAAAAAAAGCTAAGGATTGGAATGGCTTGACATGTAGCAGTAATATATGTTAAGCACATCAACAGAGCAATCATTTGGGAACCTGGATGACATAAAATCTCCTTCTTTCCGTGGCTTGTACAAGGCATGCACCGTGAGGTTTCTGGTATAATTAATGAAGGCTTTGAGAATGATGAATAGGGAAACCAAAAGTAACTCATGTGGCTATTTCGTAAAAATGTCCACCACCACCCCCCCCCCCCGGGACCAAGTTAGATGAAATAGGTGAGCTCCGCCATATAATGACTATGTGAAGGCTTTGAGAATGATGAAAAGGGAAACCAAAAGTAACTCATGTGGCTATTTCGTAAAAAAGTCCACCACCACCCCCCCCCCCCGGGACCAAGTTAGATGAAATAGGTGAGCTCCGCCATATAATGACTATGCATTGTAGGATGATAATATGACAGGTAAGAGTAATCGACATGGAAGATGGGTACTAATGGTGTCACAATTAAATGACTATATGGGCAGTGTGAACAATGGAGGGTATTTTAAGAAGTATTTTAGCCAAGTATGGGAGAGTGTGTGTCTATCCTGAATAGTTGTGACATTAGAGACAAGTACCTGGTATTCAGAGATCTGAGTATAAGACTTTCAATGAGTAGAAAGCAGAAAACAAGCTGTGCTTGTTTGTAGTTAGTGCAATTCAGTTGACAATAGGAATGAGGATTGAAAGTTTTTTTATAATAAATAAACATAAGAATGCGTAAAACAAAAAATCGTGGATGACATATTATTTCTGGAAAACTATAGAAATGTTATATCAAAATTTGGAACATTTATTTGGAAGCACCCAACATCAGGGAAGCTGGATTCTCCATAAAATGTCTGGGTAAAAATATGTATTTATTTATGTGCTGGAAATGAATATGCACAAAGTAAGCAAAAAACATTTTGATTTATTTGGATCAATAAAAGAATCTTATCTTATCAAGTCCACAAATCTAAAAAACAATTTGACTGGTGGATGTTTTGGAAAGGTGCCACTGAACTGATATCTACCTCAAATTAAGAAAATTGCAAGTACAATTGCAAGTAAGCAAAATTATATTTCATGAAAGAAGTGCTACATTTTTATTAGCTTTGTTTATATTCTTGAGCTGATAATTGATAATGCTAATATTGTGAATAGTTTTATAAAAAGTATAATTTTTAATTTTAATGATTTTTTTTTTTTAAACTCTTTTCTTTTGAGATGTCATTTGTGGCCCCAGGTTTAAAGAAACATTTTTGGCCCTCCTAGTCAAAAAGGTTTGACAGCACAGCGTAGATAATCAGAATACTGTATACTGAAATACTGTAATAACTAATAGGCTAATAGTAGTAATAGGCTTGGATTTTCTTACTTAACCCTAACAACAAATAGTGATAAGTGCAACACTGTTTTATTAATAATTGAATACGCCAAATTAAGAGATAACCATTTAATGACGATTGTCTTGTACTTCTGACACCAAAAGTTGTTGATACACTGAGTCTGATCCCTCCTTCTTTCTCATGACATAAAAGTTATGCATATGAATACACTTTTTTTTACATTTCAATCCTTTTTCTGGCCCCATGAATTAAATGATTTATCTTATTAATTATTATGAATGATTTGAATAACAAATTACAAATGACAGATGTCAGAAATAGTGTGGCTATTTAGTTTACTCATTAGTCTTAAGGTTTAAGCCTAAGCTATTTGAAGTATTTGAATAGTGAATAGCCAGGGCCACATGCAACTGAATTGTAACTTACAGTTTTACAGATTACTGGTTTATTTTCAATTCTCGTTTTTTTCTCCTTCACTTTCAGCTCATGACTCATGATAATGTACTGCCTTTTTTGTGTGTTTATACTACGTCTACTGTACTGTAACTGTAAGTAATTGACCGTAGTATAAAGTAAAGTATAATATACTGATTGATGAATGATTTACTACCTAGATAGTCTATTAATATTATTATTACACTCTTCAAATTTACAGACAGATGCATCCACAGTTACAGGCTAAGCAGCAGATAAGCACTCAGACCAAGACCCATGGCAGGGGTAAGTTTATTTATTACTTATTTATCAGTTCAGTAAATAATTGAAATTGAAATAGTTCTCCGAGTCAGTCAGGTAAGTTAAACATTTAATTCAAAGACATAAATAACTTCGCTAATGTATGAAACATTGAAATACCTGTTTAATTGTAGCTTTTGCACTGCATCATTGTCCTTTAATTGCAAAATAAAATCCTTTAATCTGGGTTCGTCAGTGCTTACTCGATTTTCAGAGTGTGTTGTGTTTTTTTTTGAACTATTGAAATTTAAGCGGCTCGCCTCGTTTTCAAATCAACCCGGAAAAGTGACCTGGTTATTTGATTGGTACTACGTTTAAAGCGGCGGTAAACCGAACACGCCGAAGGCTGTGTTTACTACCGCAGCCAGAGTATGAAAATCCATGGATCTAACGCTTTAGTTAAAAGCGTATTAACTTACTAAAACTTATAGTATTGGCAGTATTGGTACAATTAAGTAAAATATTTTGATAAAGAGTTTTAGATACTAGAGATTATTAGAATTATAATTGCGTTCTAAATAATCTTAGCCATATAATTGTGAATTGAATGAATATATGAAGATACTTTTGTGAGATTATTCCATCGTGAAAATAAAACGTTGTATATCCAGAATTGATTGTGGAGGCTTTGAATTAATTAAATTTACACATTATTTAAATTCTAGGCTAGTGTTTTGTGCATCTGTGAGTCTGAATAAACATAGAGTTCCTGGACGCATCAGTGCTGTATATAAACCCATGCATGCTACTTGATAAAAATGTTGACAATGCAATTAACAGGAAAGTAACTTTGGATTTGAAGTCTTTTCCTAAACTCACCCATTGTTCATGTGCAGTGATGGCGGAAATTCTTGTTCCATAGAATAACCTACTTTATCATAAACATGGTCATTTAAAACAGAAATAGTGTTCGTCACTAGCGGGTGCTTACTGCACTGGGCAACATCCTGGCTTTTTAATTTTTCCAGGTAACAAAATTAATATGGGAAATAAAACAATACAATTACTCATTTTATATATTTAATTGGTGGGGGATTTTTGTTGGGCACAAAAGAAATATGTATTGATTTTCAGGTTTGGTAGGGAATTGAATGAACCCTCTAGTATGGAACAACACATGTGAAGAGAAAACTGGCGAGGACGTCATACAAAAAGCTAGCGCTTAATTAAACAACCCTTAAAAAACAAAGTTTTCGTATAAATCCTTTATAAATGTAATATAAAACAATGGAGCTGAAAATTTGACAAGACATTCATTTATGTAACGCATAAGAATCTCATTTAGTGACCCAAGGCTCGTAATCGCTCATTATTTTTTCACGCCCCTGAACTATGTTAATATTCTAATGACCCACACACTTTTACACCGCAGAGTTATTTCACCGGCTATTTCAAAAACACAAATGAAAATATTACACACCAAATGCAATTTAAAAAGATTCTCTTGTAGCGCAGTTATAGGGAATTTTATTTCCGTGTCTTCATATTTCCTTCATCTTCCCCTTGAAAAACTGGAGAGAAAAAAATGATTTTGAGGGGTTGGGGTTGAAAATTGGATAGATGTCATTGGAAACGAGTCTATGTGCCAAGCTTCAGCTTGAAATATTGACGGGAAGTTGGTCAATTAGCCGTCTGAATATTTTACCCTAAACACACAAAAGTGAAGTTAATTTAAAGCTCATGACTCATGGTCAAATGACATGAGTCATAGCGAGCGAACCAACGTATTTGATATTTGACATAATAATAGATGTTTAATTTTCTGTTAGCTTCATAGTTTCAACAACATAACTTTAAAATGGGTCCTTACAAAAATATTTTCTGTAAAAATTGTGAACATTAAGAATAATTGTCCGTTAGTAATATTTTATTGAGTCGGAAACCTTTAACTGCTTTCTTTTCACCTTGTGTAGATGCCCCTATCACCGGCCCTGATAATTCTTTAACAAATATGTTTTGTCCTGCAAAATGCATTCGGAAAAAACTGAGTTTTAAGACTGTGTGGAGATGGCTTATTCACTAGTGCACTGAATTCTAGACCCAAAAATAACAAGAACAATGACATAATTCAACAAAAATCCAAACATAGGACTCGTCAACCACGGAAGGTGGCTCATTTTATTGAAGAAAAACTAATACCACAAAATGGTCGTTGCCTACGCCTACACATCCTATGGTTAAAGGCTACGGGAGTAAATCCCAACAGAAACATTTGACAACCAACTCTTTGATTATTTTTTTAATCTGCAACTTCCCTGCAACAAAAATGCGTTAGGCCTGTATATAAATTGAAAATTTGAAGTTTCTTTTGGCTGTGTGGAGATGGGTAACAGCTGACTGGGAAACAGTTTATCCTCTATTAAAACGCTTCGCGCAAACCTCATACTTCGCCACAGACCTATAATAGGGAAATTAAACCACCATGTTTAGAGGCGGAAGGACGCAGTAGTAAAGTCCTGAGGGGAAAAAATGTAACTGATAGCCAAGAATAATTAAAAGCTAACTAAATGAAACAAAATTTACAAAAAAAATGGAAAAAAACCTAGACATAAAACAAAATGCATGATGAAGTAAATTTTGATATTTTAATACGAGGCATGCATTCGCATATATTACTATAAAATATTTACAGTGTATGTTGTTTAATTATTGGTTAGTTTTTTTAAAAAAAACTATTATACTCTTCTTTAAAAAAAATTACATGCGCACTGTTGCAGATAATTGTTTCCAAAATTCAAAATTAGCCGTGTCTGAAGCCAAAGATAATCTCATGAAGCAACATCGACCCCACCCCCCCCCCCTCCTTCCCCAACCACAAACCTAACTTAAAATTTGCACACAATAATGTAGCGTTAATTAAATGTCCAATTTTATGATATATCTTTAAAAAAAATTACATGCGCACTGTTGCAGATAATTGTTTCCAAAATTCAAAATTAGCCGTGTCTGAAGCCAAAGATAATCCCATGAAGCAACAACGACCCCCCCCCCCCCCCCTCCTTCCCCAACCACAAACCTAACTTAAAATTTGCACACAATAATGTAGCGTTAATTAAATGTCCAATTTTATGATATAAGTAAGTCAATGCGAGTTTAATAAAGAAAGTCAAATATCATTTATTCTAATAACGGCTTTAAATTATGTTACAGATCTTATAGAGCACATAGAACGGTAACAAATACATTTTTGAGATGCTAGGTTCAAAGTTATGAAGTGATCAATGTTTTTTGTTAAATATATGAAACCCATTTTTCTTTTTTTTACAGTTTTTAAGCTTTCTTATTTTCCTACTTGGCTCAAATTTTCATGGATTGGATATTAATATAATATGTAGGTTGTTTTATCTAATTCTAAAAAAAAGAAGAAAAAAAAGGCGGCGCACGATGAACACTTTTGAAGTAACTATTTGAACTGCATGTAGGGATCAACACACAGCAATGATGAATCGCTATCACAAACACATCATTGTCAATTAAATGTGATCAGCACGTGATAACTGGCAGCCGATGCCCCAAAACGCGTGAACTGCATGTAGGGATCAACACACAGCAATGATGAATCGCTATCACAAACACATCATTGTCAATTAAATGTGATCAGCACGTGATAACTGGCAGCTGATGCCCCAAAACGCGTGAACTGCATGTAGGGATCAACACACAGCAATGATGAATCGCTATCACAAACACATCATTGTCAATTAAATGTGATCAGCACGTGATAACTGGCAGCTGATGCCCCAAAACGCGTGAACTGCATGTAGGGATCAAACACACAGCAATGATGAATCGCTATCACAAACACATCATTGTCAATTAAATGTGATCAGCACGTGATAACTGGCAGCTGATGCCCCAAAACGCGTGCCCACCATAGAGCGGTAATCAACAATCAACGGAGAGTAATCGATTGGTGGATGAGTGCAGCCTTGATTTCCCCTCTTAATTGACCACCACTCTTCCAATCCCGACACGCCTTCTGCTTTAAATCCCGTCTATTATAGGTTTTCATTTTTAATATGCTACGCCACACTGCTAGAGCTCCCCCTAGAGCTCCCCTTTATTTGTAGACGTAATCAAGTGTAACAAAAACTGTTAAAATATTCCTTCACGTAACGTCCCTTAAACCCATTTGATTTAAGTGTTAGAACTATTCATGGTAGTTAAAATCTAAAGACCCACAATAGGCCCAGCACTGCGCATGGTCAACATTTTCGTCCTTAATTTTTAAAAAAAAAAAAAAAGATTATCTGCACATTTTATTTCCAAATCAATGTCTAACTGCAGGATTTCGTTCTTCGCAAGGCAGAGGATCAGATCTTTAATCGGATCTGTTGGTTCAGTTGTCGCCGTGGTCTAACGGAGGACTCTTTGAGTTAAGTAGCTCTGACTGTGCATTCTGCGGGGTGTGATTGACTTTAACACAGGACACTGATGCGTCCAAAGGAACCTCCGATATTGTGGTCGAACAGAACTCAGACTTTTCAGCATTGGACGACTTGAGTTCGCTGTGCACCGGCTCGCGTTCAGCTGCGTCAGAGAAGCAGGAGAATCCCATGCTGTGCACCCAGTTGGCTGACTTGTAGCACGCCGTGCAAGTGCACTTCTCGTGGTGACGCTTTTCAAATGTCTGATGAAAGAAAAGGAAATTGGGTTTGTCAGTAACTGTTTCACGATCATCATTTGGGAAAAATGTCACAAACCGTGCCGAGGAATATTTTGAAACTTCATGGAAGAAAACCTTGCAGGGCAGGAAGTCCCTAATGCTGAAGTAATCGATAATTTTACAATCGAGCAAAGGAAACTTCAAAATACCTGCAACAATTTGACACTGATACCGATAACTTTCCCTAGTGATGTCTGTCACTAATAACGACCATAAATGATACCTCTCACAATTTGACACTATTATCTATTCTAAGTGATAACTGCCACAATTTAAAACTAATAAATATCCCGTTACTATGGACGGCAGCGTTGTTGTTGTTTTATGACTACAAACTACTTTTTATTGTGTGAATACCGTGGACCGCAGACCCATAACTGGAGGGACCCAAGTTTGGACACCTGGATCAAACTTGACCCAATCCTTTAAGCTCTAAGCTCTAAGTATGTGCCCCAAGGCCAAGCCACTCTGTTTTACCAATATTTCCCATAAGGCAAGGGTGGGAAACCCGCGGGCCACATGCGGCCAACTGAAACGTCTAATGTGGCCCGCAAGAAGTTCCAAGAACTGGAATAATGTTTTCGTATTATGTTCGAACTGTGAAAAGATTATATGTAACAATCATTGGAGAATAGGGCCTACATATAAATAGCAAAATTGTCAAAAGTAACTTATAATTATAATAATAATCACAGCAAATTTTAAAAAAAATATTCAACTGCTTATTACCGAACTGAACTTGAAATACATTTTCGAACTGAACTTGAAATAAATTTTCGAAACGTATTTTCAAAGAAGTATAGCAGTTAAAAATGATCATGCAGCCCGCCACAGAAAAAATTTCCATGCGGCCCTCGGTCCAAAAAGTTTTACCACCCCTGCCATAGAGCAAATTTGGACAATGACAATGTAACGAGCACATTTTTGATTTTCATTCAAACCTACAGTTCGTTTGGGCGAACGGTGGGGCAAGCCTCTTCGACGCTCTTTCGTGGTCTGGGACAGTGACGCATCTCCCTTGACAACATGGCGTTGCGATGCTGAAGTGACGTCATCTCCCTGCCCGTTATCGTTGTTCGGCGGCAACTTGACCGTTAACTTCTTGCTTCCAGTGTCATCGCTTATGTCCAATGGGCCATCGAACAACTGGGAGCTGGGCTTAGGAACCTTGTTGAACTGATCCAGCTCTCGCCTCACAAACGCAAATGACTGTTTGTTTTCTTGACTCCAAGAACTGTCGGAGATCTTAACCCTGGGGAACGTTCACGTGTTATGTAATTATACATTTGTATATTATAGTATATTGTACGGTATATACATTTACAGTGGTACCTCGGCAAGTTCGTTCCAGAACTCGGTTCGTAACCTGAAACATTGAAATCAATGAAATAGAGATAATCCGTTTCAAAAGGTAAGAATCGTTCTTTTTATTAACATCCGGTCGTTTCCCTTACAAAACGCAAAGAATATGTCGTGTACTTGACGGATTAACTAAAGAGAAAAAAACACCACCAAATACATTAAATGTAAAATCTCTCTCCCCCCTCTCTCTCTCCCTCTCCTTCCTTCTCTCTATCCCCCTCTCTCTCTCTCTCTCTCTCTCTCTCTCCCTCTCCTCTCCTCTCCTCTCCTCTCCTCTCCTCTCCTCTCTCTCTCTCTCTCTCACTCTCTCTCTCTCTCTCTCTCTCTCTCTATCTATCTATTTCTCTCTCTCTCTCTCTCCCTCTCCCCTCCTCTCCTCTCCCCTCCTCTCCTCTCCTCTCTCTCTCTCTCTCTCTCTCTCTCTCTCTCTCTCTCTCTCTCTATCTATCTATCTATCTCTGTCCCCTCTCTCGCCTTCGTTCGTAACCCGAGGCACTGTTCGTTACCCGAGACAAATGTTTTTGGAAGTTGTTGTTCGTAACCCGAATTATCCGTGACCAGAGGCGTTCGTAACCTGAGGTACCACTGTTGTGTGGCATCGCTATTCTTTAAGCCTACTTTACTCCGTATGGCAAAACGAAGCCCTTAAAATTATGTATAAATGTAAACATTAAAGATTACTGTACAATGAAATTATCTTGTTTAATGTCTGTAAGTAAATATGCCTGTTTAAATTAATTATCAAGATACTATCAATATTTAAATTTTGACGCTAGGGAGAATGTCATTTTTATAAACCAAATTTAAATTACCCCCCCCCCCAACCCAATTGTAAAATGAGTCCCACAACCTTGGGGTGGGTAGGGCTGGTCTTTGAGAATGGCAAGAAAAGAAAAGTAAATAGAAGTATTTTTAATATGCACTTTTTGAATGAAATAAATAACTGAATCCTCACCGGCTTCTAGTAAGTGATGTGTCATTCTCACTCTGACACGACACAGCTGTCACGAGTGGAGATTTTTGGAGTTTCAAAAGCAAAGATTTGTAGGACGACTGCTGAGACTGTGCTGGCGACCACTTGGCTGCACGACGTCTAGACGCAACGAACTTGCCACTTCTCCATGGCCAAGGCTGGGAGATCAAATCAGACACGGGAAGTACGTAGGAGATACGGGTGGGTCGTTAATAGTATAGAGATAACTCAGACGGAAGGCAACTCATCAAAAGATCAATGTTTCATTTAATTTCACACAATTACTCATAATTGAACAACAAAATTTTAGATTACACCCCTTCGTATAAATGCCCCTGAAGCCTTTTCACAGTCATATTACTTTGTTGAAGGAAGCCCAAATTTAGAAATTGCTAAATATACACTCAAAACCCTCCACATTATCTTACTACTATTTAAAATAAAAACTCCTCTCTTTAAAAAAATGTCAGAGAAAGACAGATTTGCTTTCACGTAGTGACCAATAGATTTCCGGGTGCATTCAAATTATCAAATTGTTAGTTTACTGTATTGGAACAAACTTACATTTTTAGAGGTTTCATCATTGGCCGGAAATACAAATTTTTCAGCTCGTGAACTTGTCTCCGCCTCCCACTGCAAAAAGTCTTGGCGCTTCATCAGTGAGAGAATATTTCGGTACTTGAGTTGTAGCTCGAAACGAGATTTATGAGGAAGGTTGGTGCTAAAGGATGATTATCAATAATATTTTTTTTTAAAACAACAAAAAGAACGTAATTTTCGCTGATAGATATAAATCAGGAATAAAACATCAATACATTTCAGTTTGGTACCTTGTATCATCTGTACTGTATTGTATTGTGATCTTCTTCTATCCCCTTTCACCCAAACATGAGCTTACATTAACACAACGCTCTAAACCAGGCCTGCACAACATACGGCTCGCGGGTCGCATGCGACCCACCAGCACCCACTTTGTGGCCCGCGAAGTAAGAAATATTATTTATTATTACTATTTTCATAATAGCTACGTCCTATTTTCTTTCGGCCCGCACACGTTTTTCATAAAATATCACGGCCCGCCTTACATTTTGAATTATGCAGGCCTGCTCTAAACCACTGACGATATTAACAAAGAGTGTCACAATTTTACAGATTGTTTAACGTGCACTACAAAAATTGTTGAGAAAACTGTTACAATGAGTTTCGATATATACTTTTTAGAAACTATTTGTTTGATTAAATGTCTCCTATGATAAGTAAAAAAAGTAGCAAATACAGGACACGGATACTACTGTTAAAACACATTATAATTCATTCAGCCAACAAACCGGTTAACGTTCTCTGCAAACGAATCTATAGGCGAACGTGTACTGGGAAACAGTTTGGCCATCTCCCGCTTTGACTGCTGAAGAGCTTTGACCTTCCGCATCGCTTCGTTGAGTTCCCTGGACGTCGCCAGCGTATGTTCGGAGGGGAAATGATCATCACCTTCTTCCCTGAAGTCACCGTCCCACATTTGCGGCTCGTTCATAAAAAGCGCGTCCATTTGTGTTGGCCCTTTCAGATCTTGGGGGAGCGTGCTGAAAAATATGGTTGCCTTGGACGGACGCCACAGGCTCCTTTCCCTTTTTCTGGAGCGCGGGTCTGTTGGGTACAGAACTTGTTGGGAGGAAGTGTCGTGAAACAAGAGAACCCCGTCCGTGGACCAACGTTTTGATGGACGGCCGATCTTTGTTTCGTTTCCCATGTTTCCATTGAGGGCTTTTGGACTGCGTGGTCTTGTCTTTAACCAATCATCAGCTTCGGGTAATGCTCCACTCTGAGCAAAAGCGCGAGTTTCCTTCTCGGTGTTTGACGCGCATTGCTTACTTTCCTCCATTTTAACCCGGGAAGAGTATGAGTAATGTGACTCGGCGCCCTGTGACGCGACACAACCTTGACCTGGTTGTAAATTTGCCTGATTTTTAAAGGGTGAAATGAGTTTGTCGCCGGGATAAAAGCGATGATCGCCATATTGAAAAGCACTTTGAGGAGTTCCTTTCGACTTCTGCGCATCGCTTTCGTCATCTTTATACCCTTCCAACTGGTTGCACAAGCGCATTTGTTCCAAATACGGTGAGCACGAGGCGACTTTGGAATGATTCCTGTCACTTAAAGTTACAGTGTTATCCGTTGACGGGTCGTAATTGACCTGGGGGAACACAATACAGGCCTCGTGCAGCGACCCGGGCTTATCCGCGGAAGAGCTCTCCGGTGTTGACGGAACAAGAAAGCCATTCTCGGCGCCTGACGCGAAGAGCGCCAGTATCTCTGAGCTGGAGTCATTTCTGGAGGGGGACAGACCAGATTCATTGCCCAGGCTCAGCAGCTGCTCGGACAGACTCGAGCTGCCAGTTGACGAGAGTCTGGCCATTGACGTCAGAAATGAGTTGTGTCGCCTTGTTTAGTTCTAATTTGGACGGCCTCTGCCATGGCTGAAAATATTTATTAAGGATTTGATTGGAGCTTGAAAATTCAATAAATATTAATAAAAAGCGAAATTTAACTACAATTGTGATATTTTTTTTTTACATTAACAATAGTATAGAGTTCTGCGTGCATTGCCGCCTTGTCTCGGATTGTGAAGTAAGGAAAAACTATTAGCATAAAAACGCGAGAAAGACAAATGTCACTAGTTGTCATTTCATGACTACATTTTAAGTTTTAAAAAAAATTGCACACTATTCTGATTCAAAATGATTTAAATATCTTTATTTAAGAATCATTCCACTTTATAAGAAGCTAAGGGCTTACATACTTAGATGGCTTACATACTTAGATGGCTTACATACTTAGATGGCTTACATACTTAGATGGCTTACATACTTAAATGGCTTACATACTTAAATGGCTTACATACTTAGATGGCTTACATACTTAGATGGCTTACATACTTAGATGGCTTACATACTTAGATGGCTTACATACTTAGATGGCTTACATACTTAGATGGCTTACATATTTAGATGGCTTACATACTTAGATGGCTTACATACTTAGATGGCTTACATACTTAGATGGCTTACATACTTAGATGGCTTACATACTTAGATGGCTTACATACTTACATCTAATTTTCGAATAAATGATTGATGCTGTTTTTCTTTTTTTTTTACATTTTAAATAATCAAACGGATTTCAAGAATCAAATAGGTTCAATGACCTCGGTCTAGTGCAATGTGAATTTTTTTTCACCAATAATAATATTCAATGCCATATGTCAGCATTCCAATAAAAGAAAAAGTAAAAGCCGTGCAACAAGACGAACAAGCGAATCAAATAAATGATTTCCTGTTTTAACTTGAAGGCTTCTTTGGATTGAAAACTCTGACCTTGGGTTCGGCACGAGCTTTTCGGAACAAAAACCACCAAAACTAGACAGTAACATTACCTCAGTGGTTTCCAAACTGTGCTCCGCGGCCGCTCCCTTCCCCCGTAACACTACTCATAAACTTGTAGAAATATCACATTAAGAAATGGCGTCAGCGGGCCGTCGAGCTTGCGCTCTTTATGCCCTCCCCAAAACACCCCTCCCCCAACCCGGTATCGGGCCGCGGAGTGTCACGTCGGGGATGTCCCTTTGTCAGGGCGGCCCCCACCCGAGTCTGCTCGACCAGGACTCCGCCGGGGCTGTCCTAACCCAAAGACACCCGGTCGATCCGACACTGTGTTATTTCGCACAGTGCACACGATCGACTTTCTCAGGGATGGAAAATTTTACGTCTTAATATCTTCCCCCACCCATCCCGGGGAAGCGTTAGACGCCCTATAAGAGGGATTCTAAAGTGGGTTTCCACAACGCAACTAATTCGCGAAGCAGCTGGGACGAAACGGTTGCCTTGGAGCAGCTTCTCAGGGCTGCGTAAACTTGTAGAAAAGAGTTCAATTCCAACCAAAGCCAAATCAAGCAAAAACATAATCAGCAAAACACCCCGGATAGATGGGACTCTTTAACCTTGGATGGCTACACATCTAAGAGAAGGAAACCCTGAATTCAAACCCGGAGATGGAGTCCCGTAGGCGGATATCATTGGTACAATGAAACATTCCGACAACTCCTGCGACGCCACTGGTGCCAAGCTGTATCATCCAAATGATGTTCCCTTTGGGCTATCCAGCGGCGTGGAGAGAGGCGATTTGCTGCTGGGAACCAGCTTATAATCCTTGAATGTGGAATTCGTCCTGCGAAGCCCGCACCATCGTCACCATTGTGACGGACGGATGCCAGCAAAAAAATAAAATAATAATAATAAATTTATTTATTATATATGTAGTGTGTGAGCTAAAGAATTTAAAATAATATACTTTCTAAAATTTATAAAATGTCCTTCAAGTCTTTGACTTAAAGGAACGAAGACTGCGCCATGATTTTCTAGACACTACGTTGATGAAGTTTTTAAGAAATGGTTTCAATTTCAACAAGGCTGATAGTAACAGAGATGCTTGTCTTTTCAATACAAAAATAGGAAATGTTGTTTTTTCCGCAAATTTAGGTGGAAACTATACAGTTACATTTGGTGCAAGTTGACATTAGTGGGTAACGGGAAACTCCAAAAAAAAATAAAATAAATAAATTAGTGAATACAAATAAGATAAGGGAATTGAGTAAGGAGAGTGACTGTTAACTATTCATAATAACAACATATACAATTTCATTAAATTTTCAATGCACTGGTCATTAAATTCGATACTGACTTAAAATGGCCCTAATCTATAGTACCGGTAACCATGGGCGCCCGCAGAAAACTTTCTAGGGGGGGGGGGGGAAAAAAAAAACGATTAACTTTCAAGGGGGGGTATATAGTTTTAATTTACTGTAGCGTATTTGTATGGTGAACGAACGGACAGGACATCAGCTTAGTTACTTTCTCTTTACTTTAATAAATTTTTTTTATCCAATCAATCCAGGGGGGGGGGGGCAAGTGCCGCGCCCATGCCGGTATCTTGTGCTGAATACGAATTTAACCATGATTGTTTAAAATTGACTCTTGTTTTGAAGATATTTCATAGAGTTCATTTTCTATTTCACCGTGTAAATGTATCCAGTAAGACTGCAGCAACATCCTAAAATGATGTTGAAGCATGATCAAGACTACAAAACAATGGAAACTTATACAAGAAAATGTCTTAATTACTTTATATCGAAAACGCAAACAGCTGGAGCCTTTCTTCAGAAAGTAAAGTAATCTGTTCCGATGAGGGCCTCATGAACGTCTTAAAAATCATTCATGAACCACAAGAATGGAGACTATTTGCAGACTCTTCAAAGCTGAGCCTTAAAGCTTTTTGCACAATGGGAACCGTCCTCCATCTATTCCAGTAGAGCACGCCGTCCACATGAAAGTGACATACGATAACTTGAAACAGCTACTCAATTCCATTCTGACACCTCTGTGGTGATTTGAAGGTAGTGGCACAGTTATCAGGGACGTCATGGTGGGTCATTTGCCCCCCCCCCTTTTCCCCTGGATTTTTGCAGGTTCCCCTGGATTTTTGCAGGTTTAATTTAATTTCTATGTACTGTGGCTCCTCCAGTAATAAATAACTTTACAAGCAAGGACCAAGTTTTGGTTTTGTCCCCCTTCCCTTTTCCCCCTGGATTTTTGCAGGTTTAATTTAATTTCTATGTACTGTGGCTCCTCCTCCAGTAATAAATAACTTTACAAGCAAGGACCAAGTTTTGGTTTTGTCCCCCTTCCCTTTTTTTTGAAAAAAACTTGTAATGATGCCCCTGCCTTTTAATGGGACTGAAGCAGGGATATACAAAATACACATGTTTCTTATGTGAGTGGGATAGCGGATTAAGGGAATTGCACTACTTGCGGATGGAGCGGATTAAGGGAATTGCACTACTTGCGGATGGAACGGACTCGCCGACAAAATGTAGAATTTGGAGAGAAGAATATCAGGCACCAGATCTGTCTGGTCAAGGGTCACAAAATCCTGTTACCCCCCCCCCCCCCCCCCCCCCCCCCAAAAAAAAAAAAAAACACAAA